TTAATTTCACTGATGTTTAATTTATAATTTTCTTTGTATTTTATTTTTCTAATTTTTCGATGAACTGCCATACGTTTAATAATATGTATTTGTATTATATTTTATATATTTATGATATATTTTATAAATTTTTTGGAATCTCTGAAGCTTTGTTACATTAGCGCCTAGCTAATAATGAATAAATATTTGAGAGTGTTATCATGTTTTCTTTCATTTTTTTATATTCCAGTTGAGGAATAAAGTTTCCTTTCTATTGATTAAGATCTAGATTTTAGGCGGTCGATTATAATGTGCTTCATTGATGGGCTGACTTTTCAGGAATGATTAATGAAGCTCTTAATAGTCCAGTAACCGTCGAGACGCGCAACTGTTTTTCGGGTATAAATCCACGTAAATTTCAGAGCTTCTACAAACCATGAATTTATATCCCTAAGACATCTGAGGTGTTATTGATAGTGCAGTACGAAGTCACCCTTCCCACATGAGTTTTCATCGGCATATCTCAAGAGGGCTGATAAGGAGAGTAATATAAATAAAGGACGAGAAGCGAAGCAGACAATGTTCATGCTTATTTGAACACAGAGTTTCTGTTATGATATAATTCCTTGAGTCACTCAAAGACACTTCATTTACTACACGGAGTAATGTAGTCTGATTTGACCTCATAAACTATGCTTCATTAAATTTGTGTTCAAACAGAATATTGAGGTTTTTATCGCTATAAATATTAACTGCGCTTGTGCTTATCGCCATTGTAGTTGTAAATGAATCCATATAATAAAACATTCCGTAAACTTTGGTCAAGCGATCCTTCGTATATCGATTAGCTCAAATATATCTTCGAGCCTCTTTTCCGGCTTTAGGTTTGGCTGGGTTGTCATAATTTGACTATAAATGTACCACTGGTTGATGTGTTATCATACTCCGACTACTTGTGGCATCTTTACTTGTGAGCCTATGGTGACGTATATTCAGTGATTTTTGTAAAGACAAAACAAAAACCGTATTTTCTCTCTGGTTCGTCACACTTTATATGTATTCACAGTTTTATTCAATATGCGTTGTTTTTCTGTATTACTTGTTAATAACGATGATAATTGTTTCAATGAATAATATACGATTTAACTACCGCGTGGTTTGAAAATATAAACCGCTATCTACACCGTCTTTTCTTCTGCTTTATTGACCACGGTTTTTGATTGAAGACTACAATGGTGTTATAACATCTCTTTAGCCCTTCCGACACCACGTTGGACTTCTGGCACGGATTATTATATTATAATACTAATGAACGCAATCTTTCTCAGTACGCCGTTGGTGCAATTACTTGCAGAGGAACCTTCGTTAATCGAGTGAACTTATTTGTGGTTGTTATTCTCACGAGGCAGCTTTCAAGTAACATTCAGTTCATAATAATTATTATTTGTTTGTTAATATACCCTTTGTCTTTCTAACTGCATTTTGCTACCTTGGTTTTATTAACAGACAGACACATGGTTTTTACCAATAATTTACTTGGTATATTATTATCAAACTAGTGTATCGACATACCGTTTATAAGCTCCTTTTGTTGGGAATCACCACAAGCCCGAAGTCACCTGGTCAAACCTTTTTTACACTGTAAATCTCTACCCTGTTGGAACCTTGTATATCATTTTTCTACTTCAATTTTTCCAAATTGTGATATTTTATGGTATTTTTGAGTGCTTTGTCTCGTTCGCTGCTATACTTTATATTTATTATGACCGAGTAGACTCTTAAATCACTTAAGATCAAGACTCTTTCAAACCCTCATTTCGGATAATGTCATCCTGGCCTGATAACATAGAAGTCTGATCCTACTACAAAAGAGCTGACTTCAACAAGTACGACGTGAAAGATCCACGTACACAATTCCTTACAGTTATGTCACACCTAATATGTTTTTTAGTAATGTTTCAACAACTTACGAAACTCTGAAAAGGGATATTTTTTTAGCGTGGAGATATGACCAACCGACAAAATTTGGACCAACGTTTATACAACATGAAGCCGCAACATAGCTCAGCAACAGAAATGTTTCTACGAATGCGAGAGGTCAACAGTCAACGAATACTTAGCAAGGTCCTGTTTGGACAGCACCTCTTTTCTTAGCTTCCTCAACAGGTGGGGGCTGTATCTGCCTCACTTCAAAACAACACTGAGAACGAACTGGCTGCTTCTGCCAACTGGATTCTGGAGATCACTAAAATCCCCAACGTCGAGGTCTATTCAGCCGAAGAAAAGCCTTAAACGACACGAAACGGCATCACATACTTTTATCATACTTCGATATGCCCTAATATTCATCATGGCCGTATACTCCTCAAAGGAATTCTTCACGAAAACGACCTGTCTCTAAATTACGGGAGATAGATAACCCTGATTGGTGCTGGCACTATAGTTAGTATGGAAAGCCTTGAAATCGCAGATGAAAATGTAGTTTCCCTAACTCCAAACCATCCGGCACGAGAAACGCTTCAGAAAAACTTTTCAGCCAGCATGTGTCTATGGCAACCGTACTCGGTGATCATAGCCGTCTGTTATACATCTTTTGTGTATGAAGTTAATCCTCGTTCTATTGATATAAGAAACCAGACTAGTGATGAATAGGTCCTTATTTTGATCGTAGGGAAATCATAGTAGAGCATTCAATATAAGATAATAAGAAATATAACGCCCTCACTAAATGAAGTGGATGAATAATTGAGGTTCATTGTGTTGACATGTACTAAGTTTACCATGTGACACGGATGGCGACCTTTGAGGTGCTTCCACAGGATAACTTAAGGTGCCAAAAATATAAAATTCTTTGAATGTAAAATGGCGGAGCTCAAAATTTGTGCCCAGTGCTAAATGATGATCACGACTATTGCTGCAATTGTACTCGCCCTCAATTCCATATGAAATCAAGTAAACATGCAGGGTATGACACTATTCTTATGTATAAAGGTCGATAAACCAGAAGGTTAATGGACCACTTACATCACAAGAAACATCAACACCTCGATTTAGCCTAAATCTGCACCTGCTGAATTACAGGGGTACAACTGATAACTCGTCGGTGAGAATGATACTAAATTTCCGATCAGACTAATACATGGTACTTCCACAGGCTGTGACACAATAACAACTGATACTGCGGGTACTACCGTTATTACCAAACCTGAGATGTGACAAGATAAATCTGGATGATGGCTTTGTCACCCACTAACGTAATCTTAGGAAGGAATATGCAGCACCTGTCCGATTGTCGAGCAACAAACTGGCAGCTTGCGCCAAAAGTGCAGAGCTGATTAGCTTTCAGTCGAAATCATTTATATCAGTGCACCATATGAGTAGCAGCGATTGAACTGCAATCATGTTTGGCAGTTCTAATTGAAATATTCAATGCATATAGTATAGTTGACATAACTATATGGCTATAAGGTGTTGTTTTCAACACGCCCCATGCTTCTGGAGTACTGGAAGGCAGTAAATAGCATTGCTGAAAAGGCCGCCTTGGAAAATATGTAAAGTTTATATTTGTATGGGGATCCCTGAGAAGCATCGAAATAATACTGAGATCGTGCCATAATCTGCAAGCAAGACTGCCGTGCGTATCTGAGTGAGTTCAGGGTCACAAAAAACGGAAAAAGTGTTTTTGGTACAATTAAACAAAAAGGTACAGCAAAACAATCACTAGTACAGTTCGTTATGAAAATAAATGTCTCCATTACACCAATCGTGTTCTCTTCATAAGAGTAGATCACTATAGGATTCAGGCCCTTTGTTCGAGAACTGTTCGTGGGAAGTTGATTTGATAATCACTGCGTACGTGTGGTATTTTCACAATTTTTGGCCCGGAATAGAAATAGAATGTATCCAATAACGCGGAAAGATGTTTTTAACATCTAATTGTCCTCCATGTTGCAGATCTTATAGAAAAATTCATTTTCATTGTTATCACTAACCTACCCTATCCGTTTCTCTTCTTGTCAGCTTCGCTTATCGGATAATCTTATACTATTGTTTGTTTATGAAGTTTGCTTAGTTAACCTGTTGACTACTGCACATCATTGTTTTGTCACTCCTCTGTATTCTAATTGTAAAACCCTAATATTACAATAAATTAATCGTCTATATATAATTTAGTAGTTGCTAGTTCCATTATCTTAAAAACGGTTTTAACCAGACTGTAGATATGCGGACCCCAAAATAACAGTCGACTTCGCTTGTGTTAGTGCAGGTGAATGGACAGACTTTCTTTCATTAGAAGCCGCCCAAGATCTGAAATTGTATCATAGACCTGAAAACTTAGCCCAAAGAAACCATCTGACTTGCACCAGCTCGTAACAATGATCATAGCTGTATTAATTTTCATAACTATTTTCACAGGCGGCTTTTTCGTTGACTGAAAAGTATGTGGTGGACCAAACAGATATGAACGCGAAACGTATAAACAAAGTTATTAAAAATCAATAGTTATATTAATATATACAATTAATTGTTACAAATACAATAAAAATTAAGGACGTTACTTAAATTGACCAAACGTTGCGTGTTCTGATTAGGTCCAGTAATGTAAATCCACAATTATAAATGCTTGATGACTCTGAGCAGGTTGGCGAACTCTCTAGCGATATAGTCCAACGTAGGATGTGATATATTCCAATTACAGTCTATAAATAATGACAACATTTGATTTAGACTTCCGTTAACTCAATCACAAATGAAAATAGGAAGGATGTGTGAGTAGTAATGTATTTGTTATCCAGCAAGAATATGTCACGCTATGTAGTAGCTCAACGGAAAGTGTTTTCAAGGTCATTGACTAAAACAACACATACAGTCATTTAATGATGAATGTACATACAGTGAAAAATTGACAAACAAATACAAATAAAATAAAAACTATTTACAAAATCAGCTTGTCAGTCATATATCCACAAGTAGTTCAAGGTCGTTGGTTGTCGTAGCATCACCACGGTAACTTGTGAAAAATGCACGAATGTTTGAGAGCAAAATGTCATATCCTCGGTTGGTGTTCAGTGATCGTATTTAAGTGTTTAGGAAGCCCATATTGTGGAAAAACATCAATTGTTCAATCATTTTGTAGTGGTGGCCGGGACTTCCCAAAGAACTACCTTATGGTAGCTATGATTATTTAAATAACATTAAGAACTCCAGTCTAAGACGGTTGAATTTGCTGTAAAAACAATGACAATACCAGAAGTGGATGACAGCATCGTGCGGTAAAGTGAACAGTAAAGAACTTATTTCCTAGGAATTGTTCTTATATAATATCCCAGGCAAAGAAGTTTTTCAGGATCCCATGAATCATTATGTAGGACATTAATTATTTTTATAAGGGTAGATTAATATGACCAACCTTATCGTTGTTGTTTTTGATGTAACTGACCAGGAAAGTTTCTCCAGTGCAAAGCTTACCCTGAGAGAATTACGGAAACCTAATAATATTCGTATACCGGGTAAGAGTACTTTCTTATCATATACCTGGCTTCTAGTCGTTCTTGTGGGCAATAAAACAGACCTGAAAGAGAAGCATATCAACAATGTGGAAAAAGCCCAAGGGTTAGCGGATGATCTAAGCATTCCGTATTTCGAAACTTCTGCTGTAAGTCCTTATTTTTGGTTTATATGGCATCTAGTGTGCACCATTCGTAGTACATACTGATTCAGAAAACATCTTTTAAATATATGTTCCCATATCATGAGTTAGTCGGAGTTTAAATTTTTTAATACATTCATCTAGCTGGTCTGATATGCTACCATAAATGCCAGTTGTTAGCAGGTTTATATCCAACAGATGAATTTCTTGTTTAAAAGAAAGTGGCGAAGTAAAATAACTCAGCCAGGACGAAAATCTAAAGGGTACAAGGATGAGCATATCAGAGTTAGTATCTCACTAAAAAAGCAGAATAGTGATGGAAAGATGATAACCGGTACTTAAAAGAGTGCAAACATGAATCCAAAACAATTCAAAAGATAAAATATCAAAATTATTCAGGTTTTAGAACCACTACACAACGACCCATTCGAAATTCCAATGAATCCGTAATAGCTAATAGAAAATTTGTGAAGTATGGATTTCTGAATGCCCGAATGTACATACATACACTATTATTCTATGATAATTATTGTCGATACATTAAATACTGGCAGAAGGATTTCCCTGTGTTCAGGACTACACCTTCGAAGTGTTGAAATATTCGAGTTTAATCAGAGTTAGCAACCTTCACTGGTATACAATGGTCATCAAGATTATGTACTGTTAACTGATGTACAAATTTGTGCAATGAGTTGATCTTTTGCTAGAAGCGTTCTTTTTATTTATCTCTGTTATCTAGTCGGTTATATTCGCTAGCGTTGGTACAAAAAACTGACAGACGTAAACTGCTTTTCGCCTCATTCTATGATATATATTACTACTTGGAATACATATAAAGAGATATTCGATTTTACGAACCAAGCGTATCATGCATGTTTCCGGTGTTTTGCCCGAAAGTCAGCATCAAGGTACAGATTTTAGTAATGGAGCTTGGAGAGCGACTGACTTGTCCCAAAGTATTTTGTGTCCGTTTTAATGATTAAGTGACTTTTGTGATGCCTTGCAGAGATTGACAAATCTTTTAATATTGTAAGTAAATTGGGTGATTTACGCAAAGTTTAAATTGTGTATATAACTAACACATCTCTGAAAAATTTGGATTAAATTTTGCAATTATGAATTTCGGAGTCTAAAATCCAGTAAAAGAATATCGTTTTAATTATTGTTTCTTAACCTGCTGCCACGGATAAATAAACATTTGGTAACAATAACCGTAATAATTATGGTGATGTTTCATTTTTTATTATGACAAGACTTCATCTCAAGTTCACTAATTTATTGTTAGGTATAGGTAAAATTATTTTTTCTAAAGCACTGAGCAGTCGCAAACCTATTTTGGGGGTAAGAACAACACTGGAGATATCTTAATAAGCCGCGTATGACTCATTTTATTTAACACTTAGGTTTATAGGAGACACAACCACATAATTTCATTGGCATTCAGTAACATTTGGATTTGGTGATTTTTTAGGGAATTTTGTATATATACCTATAAGACAATTCGAGGTCTTATTTAGGGGTCAATAATTACTTTTTTTTGGTGGAAATAAGTACGCAAACGTATGTCATGAAATTTCATTTTAAAATATTTAGGATGCACTAACCTTACCTCCTTCAAGATGTTTCTTGTGTCTAACAATACAATTGTCCCATTTCTATCTTGAATGTCCAAAATATTTATAAAATTCCCCATAAATCAGACTCTTGCGCTGCCCATAATCTGTTTTTACACAATCCTAATAGCCCCAAAGTTTCTCTAGAATCGAGTTCATACTTGGATTCCCCAAAATTTCACAAGCAATCATCCAAATAATGTATTAGTGATCCAAAAGCAAAAGAAACTCCAGATGTTCGATATTTACCTTAACGTAATAAGTCGATGACTGTCTTGATCTAGAAGCAATTTTGCAGCCTTCACGGCTTGCACTAGAATGTTTGATTCTTTTAGAATGAGTTATTAACTTCAGTAGGTTGTCTCTATAAACAGCGATCAAAACTTCATGAATATTTTACAGACATTTCTTCAAGTTTCACCGTAAACCATCATAAATCTCTTCGCGCGTTTATTAAACACATGATATTTTGTGATAATTGTTTTAAAACTTTCAGAAGAAAGCAGTTGGTATTGATGTCCCTTTTCTACATCTCATTAAGGAATATTATGAACTGTACAATGATGCAGTCAATGACTATCAAACTTTAGTATAATTACTATATATATCTTCAATTGATGTAACACGTGTTTTTTTTTCACTGACGGTTGGGATGTTTGATTCTATGATGGTTCTTCAGTGAGAAACAGCTTTGAAACATTTAAGCACTAAACTGCAGTAACCTTAAAGTAAATGAATAGTCTTTGGGTGATAATGATGCCCATATTAGGTTGTGTCTATTTCCATAATAAAATGTGAACCCTAGTTGTTGCTGAACATTTTATTGTATTTATGATGTTAATTTGATCGTTTTAAATGCTCTGTTCTCTACAAATTAAGCATATTAGAGACAAGTGCCGTTACATTCATGTCCTGTATTCAGATAAAAAAATGGACATTCATGTAGAGTTAAAAACTGATAAAATACTGTGTACATATTCATTTTGCGAATAGAAACAGAAAAATTATGCATCGCCAGTTATACTTGTTCATTTAGAAATCAAAAGGAGGAAAACCGTATACATCGAACGTCCTAAAACTTTTTGTTTATAATAAATCTGCTGATTCATTGACCATTATTGTACAGTTCAAGTCATTTTGATCCCAGTCCATGCCCCTAACATTAACGTAGCAAAAGAGAAGTTGAAGATGAACGGGGAGTAACATCAAATATAATTAAATGCTAGAAAAAAAAATAACCTAACGGAACAATAAGATAGAAGACTAAAATGATGTGAATGTTGTGAATTCAAGTTAAGTATAGTTATAGCACTATTTGTTGATGATGAAAGCAATAATTACGTGAATACATTTACAGAGAAAATCATGCAGACGAAATAATATAATGAGGTAGCTACAGGTATATTTAGATGACTTCAACTCCCCAGTAAATATCTTGAAGTAGCAAACGAGTTCATGAAGTAAAATTAGAAGTCACCAATATTATGATTAATCACCAAACCACAAAGTTTTTAAAACGATTGTTTAAGGTTTGTGCTTAAAATGATATACAAAACGAGCTAACTATGCTTGGGATTAAGTGTTATGTGGAGTATGTGAATTTTAAGTCATAAGTATATATGTAAACCTTAAACATTTCATTTATATAATATCATTAAAGGCTGTTGATAGGAAGCCTCGGATCTAAGTTTTGTGATGGTTGACACACGTTTGCTAAACACATATATTTCTGAGGGAACTAATGTTCCTATAGAGTTCTGAATCGATGTCAGTCATTGACGCTATCAATAACTTATTCAGACTATAATTAACCCTTTGTAGAGTTAGGATATCCGCTCCAGCCAACCCAAAGTCTACATCTATAGCTTTCTAATGATCGCCTACGTTAGGTTTAATCACTCAATCTGAGTAAAAGGATTTTATTGTTTTCCTTTAGTTAATCTTATAAGCTACTCTAAAAAAGCAAGAATTGATAAGTCATGTAAAATTACAAGCACTATGATCGTTTGACAAGAAATTTGTATTTGCTCAATATTATTATTTATAATTGGATTTAACCAGTCTGTTTGAATAAAGACTCTTTACAATCATCAGTAAATACCATAACCGCTGAACGAATAGGTGGTTATTTGTGGTAAATAAGTAATACATTTACTGTACAATTCAATATTTTGTGATCCACTTAAATCTGTTTTAAATTGCAACAACTTCAGATTCGAGCTTTCACTTGTCTTGTCGAAGTTCAGGATTTGCAGTATTTCGTAAGATCATTTCAAATTTACGCCATATGACAAGTCTTTAGTGTTTGAAGCAATGGGAATCATCTTTGAACTTAAATATGAAGAACAACAAATAAAACCAGGTACATTTTACCAATGTATCTTAAAGTGACCAAAGTGGACGTTTTGAATAACACCTCTAAGTACTCTTTAAAATATTCCAGAAACTTAGCAAGTCATACTCAGCATCCTGCATATAATTTTTTTCTGAGTTTCGTACAATAAATTTCAATACATTCGTTTGCGGTTTGTGTTTCTTGAAAATTAAAAAGGCTGTGATATGCCTAAATTTGATAAGTACATGAAGTAAAGAGTGTATTTCTCATATAATTTCTCATAATTTCTAAAAACACATAAAACAAAAACAAAAGAATATGTCAGTCATCCTCAAAAGAATATTAGAAGCCAATTCGTTTCATCTTGTGTGGTGGTCGGTATTCGATATAATCCTTAAACTTCGTAAACAGTTTGTCTTGGTAACCGTCCTTTATAACGTCCCAACGGTATATTTATCAGAAGGCGAATACGAAGCGTTGATTACGTTTATTACGAGACTACACACATATATCCAAGTGTACATGTGCGCAAAACAAGCATAGAAGAGTTGTGCCGAAAGGCAAGCAAGCGAGCGAGTGAGTCAGCGAATATGAATACGAGCAAGCGCGTACAGTTAAGCGAGCGAGTGCAAGAGCACGAGAGAGAGAGCAATGAATATGAAGAACATGGACATATATATACATAGTGAAATGAATGAGTCATCGAATCAAATAAGTGGTTAGTAGTAGGACTAGCATAGTGAATAGATGCGAGGGCCGTAAGCAATATTCAGGCATACATGTTCATACATTCGCAATAGTAATAAAGATACAATGATATAGATACGTTGTTGTTAGGATGACTCAGTTCGTTAAGATGTTAATAAAATGACTTGATTGAATTAATTGTGAACAAACTCAATTTCACGTGATCTGTTATACTTGTTCTACATTCATAAATGGTTTTTGTTATAGACTTACATCAATCTAAAAACCTATTGAAATAAGGAGGCTTTTCTAGACATCTTTTTAGTCCTAGTTTGGGACTCTTTAACAGCGAACAGCTTTAACCTCTCCGACGATTCAACCCAGAACCTTCACAGTGAACACATTACCTTTAAACCACTGGGTTCAAACTAACTGCTTCAGAGATTTCCAAATTACATCACTTCGCAATGTCACGATGATCATTTAATCCCATTAGTGGTGACTATCTCAGAGCGAACACTGTAAAGTGTGATTGATAAAAGAACCCACCAATCATAACACGAAACGTCCACCACCACATTAACTTTTTAATCACTTCGTATGACTATGCCTTGTTTATACACCAATCACAATTTTATGTTCATTATAAAACAATATTCGCTTTTAATAGTTGAATTCATGAGTCAATTGAAGCTTTCAGGTTTTCCATGGTGATCTAGCTTCAACTGACTCATTAATTCAACTATTAAACTGGACATGTTAAGTTCACCATATCACAGAATCGCCAAATAGTTAGCGGAATAATTTGAACCGGTTAGAAGGCAATTATGTAAATATTCTATTCATGGTACTTTTCAATTTATTGATCGTATTAATGACGTTAATACTTCCAAAAAACACATGTTCTCGCTTGACGTTAATTCTTTGTTCACTAGCGTACCTTTAACCGAAACGATATGTAATATATGTGAGTATATTGATTCTAACAACATAGATCTAGGTTTGCCGACTGAACACTTGAAAGAACTATTGTTACGCTGTACTTTTAATGTCCAGTTCAGTTTCAATAATGAAATATATAGACAAAGGGATGGGATCGCAATGGGGTCTCGATTGGGTCCAATTTTAGCAGACTGTTTCATGGCAAAAGTAGAAAACGACCAACTCCGTGCAATGATCAATCGATTCCACCTATACGTGAGATACATGGACGACACGTTTGTCGTTTGTGAGAATAATATTGATTTAGATGATATTCTACACACCTTTAACTCATGCCACCCTTCCATAGACTTCACGTTAGAAAGGGAACGAAACCAATCAATTCCTTTTCTCGATGTACGTCTGATGAGAAAGAGTAATGGTTCTTTAAGAAGATCCATCTTTAGAAAACAAACATGGAATGGCCAGTTAACCAACTTTTATAGCTTGGTTCCGTTAAGTAGGAAGAGAAGCCTCCTTCGTTCTTTATGTTATCGAATACATCAGATATGCAGTACGGAATGCATTAACGAAGAACTCGCATTCCTCAAGAAAACCTTGACGGAAAATGGTTACCCAAAACGGTTCATAGAAAAGAATATGAATAGAAGCAGTTACGACAAGAAATCTAGTTGTTCCGTTCCGAAGAAAAACCTTTATATAAGTCTGGAATTTAAAGGTGATAGAACATCAGACGTTATCAAAAATCGTCTAACAACAACTATTAGAAGAACATTAAACGCGGCTCAACTGCGAATAACCTTCACGAGTAAGAACTTATTTTCTGTATCCATAAAAGATAAGCTTCCGCGTCTGGTCGCCTCCATGTGCATCTACCGGTTCACCTGCTCTTGTGGAGCAAGGTACATCGGCCGTAGCCAGCGCTCGCTTCCAACTCGGATACGGGAATATATCCCAGCTTGGTTCTATAAGGGTGAAAGGAAAGCAGTTAGAAGTTCTATGCTGGAACACCTAATCGACTATGACCATTCTACAGATCCACAAATTGATTTTAAGGTTGTTTATATGATTCGTTCAAATCTACCCAGATTTCTTCGTATCCAACTCTTAAAAAATAGCCGAAGCTCTTACCATCCAGGAGCTTAAACCAGAACTATCCGTACAAAAGAAGTACGTCTTATCGTTATCGTTACCTTGGCCTTAATTATTCTGATTATCCTATTATTATTATTATTATTATTATTATTATTATTATTATTATTATTATTATGATTCATATTACGTAATCTAGTACTATAACCCCTTTTTTATTAACTGTGTTCACATTTCCACACGGAATTAGTACTTTTACAAAAAAAACAAGAAAATTTCATATATATACGATTGTACAGTTTGATAATAAATTCGTTGAAAAGAGATCCCTTCGCTGAAATTCGTGTTTTAATTTTAATGTTTAGATGGGAATTATCTGTCAATACTATAATATCCACAAAACCCCTCTATGACGATAATATTCACTTTGTTGACTAACTTTCCCTATCCTGTAGTTACTGTTCAGTATGTTATTTATGTCGCTCCTTTTCCCTGTTTAATGGACTGTATTGTTTATTTTGTATACTAACAGTGTTAATTTACGTTTTAGAAACAGATAAAGTTTATCGAACCAAGTAGCTTAGTTGTTTTGACTTTATCTAAGCTAAGACTTTGTGCTCGACAGTCTAGAGAATAATTTAGAATTACAACTGTAGGAAATTACTTCCTACAAACATTTAAATGAATTCAGTTTGATAGGTGAAAAAAATGAAGAAAGAAGTTAAGATAGAAGTAACAATGTTATTATTAGTAATTACTATTATCAAAATAGTAATTATGGCTCATCGCAATTCATTAGTTAGGATGAAAGGGGGAAATTAAATGCACGAATTATTTCTAAAATCATAAAAAGTTAAAGATGAAAATATTGACATTTTATTTAAAAGCGACACTAAATAGAGTACAGTTTAAAAAATAAGGAAAATGTGCTGTTCAATTGAATGGAATGCTGACGGCAATCATTTTCCAGGTTTTGTATGACAAAGTAGCACCATTTTTTTCATAAGGGAAAATAACATTTGATCGGTGATAACAACGCACATAATTGTTTGTCTAGAAAATATTCACCAGAAAAAAGCAAACGAGCATTTCAGAAAATGTAAACTTAGCACTTTTGAGATCGTAGTTCTGCTGACTGAAAAAAAGTTTCAGTTGGTTTATTCGTAGGTATTTTTGCAAAACTACCAATGCTCTAGCTAAAGATAAATTTTATTACTCTTAGAGTATTCCAGTGCAGTATTGACAAAATAGTTATAAAAGACTTTTCCCCCGATATTGTTAGAATGCAACCATAAGTACTGCACAACATGATATCGGGTTATTATTTAATGGTCAGTTGGTTCAATTATTCCTGTATTAAAACGGTTTGTTATTGCCCGGATAACTCACTTGTAACGCCTTTGACACCGGTTAGCACTAGTCTGAATTCTACTAATAGTATTAGTATCTTCAGATACACCTGACTAATTTGAGTCAAATATCACAGAAACTAACTCCAGGGCTTTGGACCGATGACTTCAAACTACGTATAAGATAATATCTGTGTAAGTAATGTAGGGTATGGAAAAATCAGACATAGAAAAGCAAATTAATTTTCGTTATAGTACGAGAAAAAGGAACAAGCTTGGTTATGCCGAACAAACATCCTACCAATTAAGGATTCAAATAAGCCATAATGGAGTACTGACTTAATGTTATTGCTAAGTGAATTCTGTTTCTCAAGGCGATTACCTAATTCATGAAATAGCTTCACCTATGCATTATCTGAATTTAAATATTTTCCCTTATATAGATCTTAGTGCTTTAAATGTCCAGACAAACGATCAGGCCTAAATAACAGCATCTCCGAAGTTGCAGGCGAATTCATAGTTTTTAGGTTTTCTCGTATATAAGGAAGTTGGGTTATAAATATGAAGAACAGAGACTTAGGACGTTCACTTGTTGATTTTCTTAAAACCTCAATAAGATGATTTTTGGCTTGTTAACACACTAGTGAATAATTATTTAATTAAAGGTGGGTTTTTTTACGGAATGATATAAGTCTGATGAGCTGAAAAACACTGAACATTCAGTTCTTTCCGTTTTACAACTAAAAAGAGTAACATTATTGTACGCTGTATTTAACGTTAGATGGTCGAGTATGGTTCATGAAAAGCAGTAGATCAAAGTTTTGTTTAGGTAAACTCTCCTTAGCAAGGCGCATCTGGAGTACTAAGGAACGCAATGTACCTTAATCACAAGTCATTTAACATTGTGACAGTAAACAAAGCCGACGGAATTTATTCATGTAAACGACACGAAATTAACTATTGATCAGTGACTAATGATTTTGTAATTCACAATCATTCAGAAGGTAACTACTAGCTGGAATTGCTGAATGTTAATGTCTGTGATTCTGGCTTAGGTCTCCAAAGGAGCATCATTCCCTTGAATTTGGACATAGATCCGGATAATGAGTCCTGACCAGCAGTTAATTTGTCAAGTTGCAGAACACTGTGAAATCCAAGATGGTGCAAATCGGTTGATTTCAGCTATTGTTTGCTGATTTTAGTCTTTCAAAAACTTTTAAAATTATTCAGACCCATTTTTTTATTAAGATATGTGACACAACTTTGGAGACATACTTCTCACAAATATCACTAATATTAATGATTAGGAATGAAGAAAAGAAATTAGTAATAAAATCTACCAAGTTTTATTCCTAAGTATCTATGACCAAATTTAAACATCCTACAATTACATACAAACACATTTTTACAACTAGGAACGTAATTAAATAAATGTTACGTTATTTATTATTTATGATAAGAATTTGAACTTACCGGACGTTTTTGAGATCACAATGATAAGTTTCATTTGAAGTAAACATAAAATTTCAAAGTTGTTGATATTTTCAGAAAAAATTAATATCATTGAAATAATGTATTAGCAAACTGGTGAAGAAATATATATTGCGCCTGAAATTGATGTAAAACAACAGAGAACAGTCATTTTTCTATAGATTGTCTGATATTAAGTCAGCTTGATATCCACAATTAACACAAACTAGAAAACCAATAAAAACATGAAAATATTAAATTGTTGTTTCGTCCTAAGTTGAAACTCTTCAACAGTGCAATTCACTGAAGGTAGAATCTCAGGTTCGTCACTAGTGATTAATTTTGGAACGATTTCATATGCAGAAGATATTATTGATGGAATACATTGCCGATGACAGTCAGTTAGATATAACCTAATAATATTGTGCAATGATTGACTTTCAAAGATATAGACAACTAAATTGTGACTTAATGATTTAACAGCATCGTGTTAGCTGCGGCGGTTCCATGTACTGGATTCGATGCCATATGGGTGCATGAGTTTATTTATTTATTTAAGCACATGATATTAGCCCCAAATGAGCACCAAAACAAATGCATGCCATAAAATAAGGAAATGCGATTGTGAAGGAGTAAAGAATGGAGGATGTGTATAACGCAAAAGAATAAATGAATAAAAGTACGTTAAGAGTCGCATATAAAACAGTTCAGTTTAAAAATATATATATATAACCAAGAAAAATCCCTTCTGTTAGGGAATATCATCCTAATTTAGAAAGAAGTAAAACGAAATAACGACAAGATCGCCACTAGCTTTTATTTTCAGGCGTGAGCGACATCTCGGAACCCAACCAGAGAATTCTGAAAAACCGATAGATGTCATTCCTGTACAATTCCCTTGCATACTGCAAAAAAGTGTAACAACCTCATTAACTTTCCCCTTTTACCAACCAGTCGAAGAATCTGAAAATAATGCACGATGTGCAATTCTCTGGGACAACATCCGTAACACAAAAGATAGTGGCACCAATTTCATCACTGTCACTGTGCCTGAACACATGCTTCTGAACCTCTGCATTTCTAACATGGCGTCATCACTGAATGTCGGCAATCCTTCATAGACAATGATAATTAAACACGGATAGTCGCTTAACATTTTCAGCTGGAAAATGACAGGTTTCGCAAGCATAGAACGAAACTGCTCTCACCGACGCATTGTAAATCTGTCCTTTTACAGCCAGAGTTATATAATGAGGGAATCAAACATGGCCTAGATTGGCACAAGCCTCTCTAACTTTCACTATACGCATAATGATCTCATCACTCACGTTACCACACGCACTCAACCAGGTACCCAGATAAACAAACTTTTCGACTAGTTCTAAAAGCTCATCAAAAACATTGAGTATAGGTACAGACCACTATCAGTCTCGTAAAAGCACCTTGGACTTAGAAGGTACGAACTACGTGCCAAGCCTACGGACGCTCATCGCCAACTGAATAAGTGTGCATTTCACAACTTAAGTATCACCCACAGTAAGAAAATATCATCCGCATACTCAGGTTTGAAAGATCTTTCCTCAGGTGACAGAAACACACAGCATAGCCCGATTTCATCAGAGATGTTCCTAGGGTATCATCGATGGCAAGGTTAAAGAAGAGTAGTGAGAATAAGCGACTTTAACATATGCTGAGTTTTACCAAGGGAGAGAAGTGGTTTTATACTAAGATATTTGTATACAGTGCTTAAGATTTTAGTAAGCTTTTCAGGCACTCTTTTCTTCAGCAGACAACCCCAGAGTACGATCCTGTCCAACAAATCAAATTTGACACCGCTGACGAGTACTACACTAGCGTAAAGTATCTATCCACTTTCCCTAAGCTTTCATCATTCGTACGACTTCTTTCTTGTGTGAGAAGCATCTTGGTTAAAAGTGGTGATTGTCCAGGCGTGTCACAGACATCAAAACATTTCCATAATGCTGGCTACAGGATTCACTTCAATAGTTAATGGATCCCATTGCAAAACTACATTTATTATAACAAGATAAGCATTAATATTTTTTATGCAGTCTATCGGAACATATGAGGAAAATTTCTTGTGCCACCAAGCTTCGCATTGTCCCTTCCAGCCGTCAAATAATTGCTAAATGTGTGAAACAACAAACTCTCGCATTGGGCCACACCAATGTGTATTTATAAGTTCACTGGCTCATGTAAAGCGGTTACATAAGTCACACAATGCGAGCGCTTTCCAAACGCATGTCCGAACATTATTTCGGCTTTCTTTTAAAAGGTAAATGTAAGTCAATTAAGAGTTCAATATTAGAACATCTTATGAACTCCAGTCACATGGACTTACCTGATAACCACGTTAAACCTGTCTATACAGTCAGATGATTTAGTTCAAAAGGAGTGAAAATTAATAACCTTTGCACTTCAGAGGCCCTACTAAAACAATATTTTCAAACCTGGAATCTGTTTGCGAACGATTAAATACCTAATTAGATACTTACTTACTTACTTACGCCTGTTACTCCCAATGGAGCATAGGCCGCTGACCAGCATTCTCCAACCCACTCTGTCCTGGGCCTTCTTTTCTAGTTCCATCCAATTCTTGTTCATTTTTCTCATGTCTATCTCCATTTCTCGGCGTAATGTGTTCTTTGGTCTTCCTCTTTTCCTTTGACCTTCAGGATTCCATGTGAGGGCTTGTCTTGTGACTCAGTTGAATGCATTCCTCATTGTGTGTCCTATCCACTTCCAGCGCTTCTTCTTGATTTCTTCGTCCGCTGGGATCTGGTTTGTTCCCTCCCACAGCAGGTTGCTGCTAATAGTGTCCGGCCAATGGATCTGAAGTATTTTGCGTAGACAATTGTTAATAAACACCTGTATTTTCTGGATGATGGTTTTTGTAGTTCTCCAGGTTTCTGCCCCATACAGTAGAACTGTCTTGACATTTGTATTGAAAATCCTGGCCTTGGTGTTGGTTGACAGTTGCTTTGAGCTCCAAATGTTCTTCAGTTGTAAATATGCTGCTCTTGCTTTGCCGATCCGCGCCTTCACATCTGCATCAGATCCACCCTGTTCATCAATGATGCTGCCCAAATACGTAAAGGTTTTTACATCTTCCAAATCTTCTCCGTCAATTGTGATTGGATTGGTGCATTATGTGTCGTATCGGAGATTCCTGCTTTTCCCTTTGTGTATATTGAGACCTATTGCTGCTGAGGCTGCTGCCACACTGTTCGTCTTCTCCTGCATCTGTTGTTGCGTTTGGGATAGAAGGGCCAGATCGTCTGCGAAGTCTAGATCATCCAACTGCATCTTAGATGTCCATTGTATCCCGCGCTTCCCTTCAGACCTTCATGTCTTCATGATCCAGTCGATCACCAGGAGAAAGAGAAAGGGTGAGAGTAAGCAACCTTGCCTAACACCGGTCTTCACTTCGAACGACTTTGTCAACTGTCCTCCATGCACGATTTTGCAGTGTAATCCATCATATGAGTTCTGTATGATATTGACTATCTTCTGAGGCACGCCGTAGTGTCGAAGAAGTTTCCATAGTGTTGTTCTGTCCACGCTATCAAATGCCTTTTCGTAGTCAACGAAGTTGATGTAGAGTGATGAATTCCATTCAATTGATTGTTCCACAATGATCCGTAGAGTTGCGATTTGGTCTGTACACGATCTATCCTTACGGAATCCTGCCTGTTGGTCACGAAGTTGGGCGTCTACGCAGTCCTTCATCCTGTTTAACAATACCCTGTTGAAGAAATTTCCTGGTATTGAGAGAAGAGTGATACCTTTGTAGTTATCACATTTGCTGAGATCGCCTTTCTTTGGTATTTTGATCAGAAGTCCTTCTTTCCAGTCTGTTGGTACTTGTTCCTCATCCCAAATCTTATTGAAAAGAATGTGGAGTATCCTTGCAGTTGCCGCTACGTCTACCTTTAGTGCCTCTGCTGGGATGTTGTCCGGTCCTGCTGCTTTGTCACTCTTGATTTGTCTTATGGCCATGCTGATTTCTTCAATTGTTGGTGGGCCAACATTGATTGGGAGGTCCGTGGGTGCTGCTTCGATGTTAGGTGGGTTCAGTGGAGCTGGTCGATTCAAGAGTTCTTTGAAGTGTTCTACTCACCTGTTTTGTTGCTTTTCAATGTTGGTGATAACCTAATTAGATAGTTCTTTATAAATGCCTGCACTTTTTTGATGATGGTTGTAGTAGTTTTCCAAGTTTCAGCTCTGTACAAAAAAAGCTGTCTTGACGTTTGTGTTGAAAATTATAATTTTGTTATTGACTGAGAGTTATTTTGAGTTCCAGGTGTTCTTCAATTGCAGGAATGATGAACCCTATTTCGCCAATCAGTGCCTTCACATCTGCATCAGATCGTCCGTGCCTATCAATGATGCTGACCAGGTATGTAAGTTCCCACCTTCTCCACGGCTTCTCCATCAATTATGATTTCTTTTGTGTATGTTGAGGCCTGCTAATGCAGAGGCTTCTGCTACACTGGTTGTCTTGATCTGCATTTGTTCGTGTGAATGGGATAGAAAAGCCAGATCATCTGCAAAGTCGAAATCGTCTAGCTGTATCCAAGCTGTCCATTGTATTCCGTGCTTTCTCTCAGATGTAGAGGTCTTCATAATTCCATCAACTATTCCAACAAAAGAGAGAGTAAGTAGTCTTGCCTGACATCGATCTTCATTAGGAATGCATCTATCAGTTGACTTCCACACACAATTTTGCCGTGGGGTCTGTCGTAAAAATTCCGTATGATAGTGACAATTTTCTCAGGTAAGTCATGGCGCTAACGCATAATTTTGGTAAATAGTAGTTCGATTTTATTATGTCCTGCTAATGTTTTAGACTTCTTGACTTTAATTATTTGTTATTATTACCTTTAAGTTTTTACTTTATTCTTCGCCCTTTTCATATTCATCAAGTGGACGATTATTTTTCTCACACCCGTTTTCACCTTATTATTTCTGTTGTTCGCTGAACTATCTACTATCATCGAGGGTTATGCTTGAATCCTATTGACCATAACATCACATCGGAACACTGGGAATCCAGCTGTAATCTAATAGCCAACGATCAAACGATTATTGGTTGGTTGGGTGCTTTGATGAGTTCAGTACAAATTGAAGGCGGTTATCATCTTGAAAATGATATCAACCAGAGAATAGTTGCAAGACCGGGAAGAGTCGAAAAGCTGTTTCGAATAATGATTAGTTCTAAATGTAAACTGTTGGAGGACGACTCAATGACCTAAGAGTACGGTGTTTGACACGAGACCCCAAAAACTTTGGTTTTGTTTTGTGTGATATGATGACTAAACACTGCTGAGGAAACCATTAGTATGACGTAATAGTCCTTCAGTGGTTCCTAGTTTTTAACGGTTCTCCAACTCTGTGATGAAAATCATCCTACACTTATGTTATGTCCCGACACGAATAATGAATGGTAACTTTTGGAATCTATTGATGGACCAATACTAAACGTATATTTCTATTGTATAATTATTATGTAACTAAACTCTGCATATTCATATTCCTCTTATTATTCACAGCCACATCTGGCTAATTCTTGTACAAATGTTGTTTCATATTTTATTGGTACGTTGTGGTCTGTTTGATTGGTATATAAACAGAGTATGTTTGATAGACATGATTCATATTGCAGAGGCTGAGACTGGTGTTCTGGACTTAACTGGCTGGGCTAGGCGGAAAGCAGGACGAATCAGGACTCTAGGCTGCTCGCACGTGTTTTACGCGTCCTCGGTCCGATCGATAATTCGCTGCTTCCGATTGGCGGCTCTGGGCATAACAACTTATTATATTGCCATTCACCCAGAACACTTGACAATTGCACAACTGCTCGTAGTAAATAGGAGTGTCATACAGTAGTATAAAGATCGGCTTCTGCTTAACAAATTTATACTGAATAAATATAGTTAAATTGTTTGAAAACTATTTTTAGTCCGAACCAATTACTTTAACATAAAATTAAGTGCTTACAACTTTTTGTACCATCGATGGACGACATCGTCTCATTTGTAAAATGATACCAGGTATATCATAATAAACACAATTGGATTCTTTATAGATTTGTAATAAATCAGCAACAATAAACGTACCAGTTCTACCAACACCAGCCCTGTTATTTTTAAAAAAAGTCAATTTACATATGTATATATATTCGATATGAAAAAGGTTTTGAAACAACGTTATGTGAGAATCGGTAAAAGGTTTTTTCTACTAACTTATCAACCGAATGATATTTTTCTCAGAGGCCTAGGTTTGAGTTGGAATGGGCAGTGAACACACACCGTTAGGGAGGAAAAAAACTATTTCGTAAGTAACGTATACTTCATGAATCCTAAGCTTCAAGTTCGATCCCTAGAGATTACAGGTGTATACTGATAAGGTGTCTCATACTAAAACTGTAGCTGTTCAGTCCTCCTCAATTTTCGTTGCTCTTATCAACATAAATTATTCCTGTGTGATAACCACTTTCATACTGAATTAATCTACACATTCTACTCAAGTAACTGATGAATCAATTTTATTAGATTATCACTTACGAAGTGAATGTCCATATAATTAGCCTTGTGTTATGCTTTAAGAGCAAGGAGTGTTGGTGTTACCTACATTCTCGAAGAGATATAAATCAACCAGGGATCTAATTGAAAACTACAAAGGATAAATGTGATTCAATGCTTTATTCATTCATCAGTATATATATATATATGAATTTCCTCAAATCTACGTTATGAAATTTATTTTTAATTTAATCACATATAAAGACTTGCACTGCTGCTGTCCAAAAAGAAACAAAAATCGCTTGTAAGGAGGAAACCTCATAGATCCAGGGTCACCAAAGCATTTTTTCAAACAAAGAAGGAAGGAATAACAATGAATGCTATCCAGTACTATTTTAGCGACCTCCCATTATCTAAAATCTAGTTATAGAATGTGCTATTAAGAACAGCAACATAAATTGGAAATCTTGATTACTTACGTGCAATGCACAAGAGTTGGAGAATATCGATGTGATTCTGCACACTTTAATTCACGGTAGTCTTTCATAAATGTTTGAAATTCACTTAGATTTGGTACATCGAAGTCTGGCCAAGTCGTCATATGCAACTGTACAACATATTTGGAATTTTCTGGGTTATTTGACTGATTGTTAATCTTATGGAGAAAATCATAAGAAGAATTGTTTATTATTTAAATTGTTTCACGATCAAGTCAACTCTGCAAATAAATAATGACTACACAAGCATGATTTAATTTTGTTTGAATAGTTGCTGAAAGATCGTAGAATACGAGACAATTAGTTGCACGCAATAGTCTTAATTTCACGACGAACTTTCTATGGTAAAATCCTTTGTTGAATTCGATTTTAAAGACTTAAATAATATGACATAGTTGTTACGTGAAGCTCGATTTATAATTTACGATAGATAACAACCACACAGATTCTAGTTTATTATATTAAGTTCACTACTACAACTATAGACTTATTTATATTGTTCAGTGGTTGGAAATAGTAAAAATTTGGAGTAAATTTGTCGGTAGTAGTTGTTACAGATTGACCTCATTTAGTATGCTATCAAATGTCAGTGTGTATTGAGTTCATGTTTTTCTTGTGTATGGAATTCCTGGATTGTGGACAGTGAAGACACTTCCAGAGGTTGTACTTAAGACTTTCATATTATATGGTTAACCAGCAGACCACTTGGCTGACAATTCTAACTTGCATCGGCTCATAATAAAGCGAAACGAACATCCAATCCCACTGATGACGACTGCTTTACTTTGAATATGTCCAGACTTTATCAGTTACAATCATTATTAATGGCTTTATTCAGTACTATGTGTTTATTATGATGTGGCATTCTCAGCACGAACTATTTCAGCAAGTTTCTTTTACAAAAAAAATCGATTACTGAATACATGTATATCTGAAATAAGAAAATAAACTATTTGAAATTAAATGAAATGTTTCAAGGTAATAATCTATACAAATCTTAACAAGCAACGTGTTCAAAAATACAAGTTTTGACTAGGTCAGCCCTTAAAACTTATTCGTCACATAGTATATTTGTTAGATACGATATGTAGAGCTTTTATACATTTGCCTATGTGCATAGATTCTATTTTATCGATGTCTTGTTCTACCAGAAAATATACATGGAAAAAAATATGAATGCAGTGGATGGCTTTTGTCGTACGGGATTTTGGTACTAGGACGAAATAGCTGTTAATTGCTGCCTAGTTTGTAACGGAACTTTAAATGAGGTCAATTTGTGATGAATGTAAACCAACCTTCACAAAATCTCTTCATCAATTTAAGATAAATATTTTATATCTGACAGACAATCATACAATGGGCACTTTCTAGGTTGCGAAACATTGATTTAATCACTGTACGACGCTATTAATGTGATCATTGACTCGAGATACCATATTTCACATTAAAAAGAGAGGTAATTAACAAGATGAAATAAGATTAAATAATGATCAATTTGATCATAGTGGCTAGGTAATTAATTTATTTACCAAGTACTATTTTCAGAGTAAAATATCTGAAGGCTGGAGTGATGAATATTAGTAAATGAGATCGGTACGGTGGAACGACGTAAGCACCATGATGACTGGTGAAAGAAAAAAGAACATATAAATTCAAAAAAGCCTCTTAATTAAAACCTCATTTGAACCAAAAATATAAACTCGTTTCTCTCAATTTATTTAACCAGATATCACAGTGAGAATAAAATAATGATGTTAAGCATTAAAAATTATAGTAATATTTGTTTTATGACATTAAAATTTGAAGATAGATTTGTTAGGGCTTTAGGCCCATTGAAAATGACTGTCGGATCAATTGCTACAAGTTAAAAAAATAATAAATGGATCTCATTACTGATGAAAACAAAGCTAATCCCGGTGAAATCTTAGGTGGTTAACTCTAATGGAGTGACTGGGTTTGTATTCGACTTAAATGTAGTCAAGTTTATAAAAATGTTTAAAATAGTAGCAAATAACGTTATATTGTCTATTCCATAGGGTCGATTGGTAGATAACTAGTTGGTATAGTGCTCAGATTACTTGGTACTATGATGTTTGTATATGTTCTGATATAATACATACTAACATGTCACTAAAGACGATAGATAAATAAACATAAAAGCAGTGAAAAGTATAGCTAAGAAAATACGCTCATGACAAACATATTTCTGGTTGAGATAAATATTACATAAGGTCCGAACTCCTTTAAAATATCCTCAAAATGCTGGACAACTGTTTTGCCGCTACGTTGAAATAATAAAACTTGGGTCTCTAGGTCTGTCATTTTAAAAAAATTTTGATTAATACATTACATCATCGAGTAAAAATATAATCATAATTCTACGTATGTTGTAACCTCCATTTGTTTATCCTGTTTGAAAACCCAAATCTATCAAATCTAGGATTCATGGCTCTCATCCATGCGGCCCGGATTCAAGTCCTGGCGCAGGAGCGCTTTTGCCCTCAAATGCCCTGGTATGGCTGAGGATGGGGAGAGTCCGGTCTCCATCTCGAAACGCTCTCATATGGTCACGCCTACAGAGCCACTGTCAAAGAAGTCCTACTCAATGTCTTCTCGAGGAGTGGACGTTGTTTACGAAATTGGGAGGACGAAAAGCGAATGTCTGGCGCTTTAACCGGGTTGGAAGGTACAGAGAATCTATCTAGGGTAGTTGGAATAACCTGATTCCAAACCAATGGTACACATGGGCTCCAGGATTCCGAGGTAACAAACGGAGTATGAAACGATTGTTGGTCACCGACTACCGTGGGACTGAATCTCCTAATGTTGCCCCACTGCCTTACGGATTATACTTTTAGGTCAAACGCTCTGGGTATGGCCCCCCAAAAACACCACCTGCTTCGGTCTGAACACCCGGGCAGTATCACAGCCCACACGCGAATCAAATGACGATTACTACTGGAAATATTCTTGCATCAATTAGCATTCAGGTAAATCACATTGACAATCATTTGATAACATTCTCTATCTTTCTTTATATACTACGTCACTTATCTACTCTCTTCTATTTTCACTTTGTGTACTCTTATTTTCCAACTTATACCGAAGCTCGCCTATGGTGGAAATCCTGTCCTATCTAAACAATCTCGAATCGCTGGCTGGTCGAAAGTTAAATGCTACCACCGACTAAGAATACTGAAATTCTTTCTGAAATCACGTATACCATTCACAAACTGGCTTCCTTCAACGTTCACACACTAATGCAGATCGGACAATGGATAGGTTTGGCTGTCTTTAGAAAGTCTTAATATCGATGCCTGTTTGTCCGTGGCCCGTGTTTAGGACTAGTGACGTACTACAAATTAGCTCTCCATCTGTCGCTTCAAAAGGTTTATTTTACGTGCGCTTATCCAGGGACCCTGTGGCATCGTCTGGTTTTGCTGGTGTTGGTGTCGCACTAAATGCCAGAGCTGAGGCAGCACTAATCGATTGGATCCCCATTAACAGTCGGTTATGTGCTGTTAGATTAGAAAGTTTTATCAAAGTAAGACGAAATCGGTGTGAAAAACGATGTCTTTTCGTCATCTCCACCTATGCTCCGACAGATTGCAGCCCGGATGCGATCAAGGATGAGTTTTACCACCAGTTAACTGTTCTTCTTCAGAAAGTGTGCCCGACAGATATTGTAATACTAGACGGAGACTTGAATGCTCAGTTCGGGCGTCTAGGCACAGAAGAGAGTCGTTTAGGTAGCCGATGGGGACTTAATGGACACAGGTCAGATAACGGGGACCGTCTGCTTCTACTGTGCGCAGATCACAATCTGTTTCTCACTAGCACTAACTACCGGCACAGTCATCGCCGATGTACCACCTGGCGTCCTCCCTCTGCATCTCAAGCCTGAACTCAGATTGATCACATCACGGTCAGCTACCAGAGGCGTGGTTGTGTACAAGACTGACACTCCTTTTGGAGTACCTATCTAGACTCTGATCATGCCCTTGTTTGCGCTAATCTTACCTTGCTATTCACTGGCCAACAAATTCATCGTCCTAAACAAATCGATGTCAGTAAATAGGTTGCAGCTTCTGTTGTAACTAAATATCAAACCGAGGTAGGTTTGAGGCTATTTACCATCTCACCGAAAACTATGGATGAGCATTGGTTGAAAATGCATAATTTCATGAAAATGTAAAGTCACTCATAAGCACTGGGTTTCTTCAGGCTCCTTACAAATCGATGGAGCCCGTCGGTCTGCTCTGGGTGATTGCGAGTTTGACCACAAACAAAGATTTACGAAATGAAATTGTGAAGCAGCAACTGCATCTGGCAACTGCTGGAAGCTCGTTCAACTCATACGAGTCACTAGGAGCAAGAACTCTGTTGTGAGTGAAACAATTTGTGAGGGTGGCGGGATGCCAATCAGTAGCATTTATTGACGTTCTGGACAATGGATAGAGTTTTTCGAGGAGCAGCTCAACTGGTCTGCAGTCCCAAAAACATCGATCGGACTTTCCTACCCCCATGACCCGTGACGACTGATCCACCTAACGAGGCGGAAGTTCTCCAGAGCGGCCCACGTCAATGTAGGCCATCTTTGGTGCCTTCGTGATGTTAATCTGAATGTAAAAGGTCGGATCTACAATGCGTCGATGAGAGCAGTTTTGCTCTATGCTTGTGAAACCTGGCCTCTATGGATTGAGAATGTAGACAACTCTGTGCTTGATCATCGTTTACTCCGAAGGATTGCTGACATCCAGTGGCAATACCATGTCAGTAATGCAGGAATTCACCATCGTGTGTTCGGGTGCAGAGACGATAATTCAATTGGTTTCACTATCTTGAAACATCGACTTCGGTGACTTGGACATGTCTTACTAATGTCATTCCAGAGAATTCCACGTCGTGCATTACATGTTATCATACGCACTTTACATTATATGTCTCTTCATATTCTGATTGTTATTGTGTGGCGCATATGTAATTCGTGCCCTCTTGTACCAATGTTTATCTGCCTAAATAAAATATTTAATCGTACTTAAGTTTACTTTCATATCCATAAAAATCACATAGTTCAAACCACGACGTTTGGTGGTACAATCAAATAAAGATATTGTAGCTGATACCTTGACGTGATGGTCAAGTTTGTCTGTTGTGATGACTAAACCGAACTGTATTGGCTGGAACTCATGTTCCTCTAGATCCTACTGTAATGAACGAAGTCTTGAGTGGTAAACCAATTTATTATAGTTAGCAGAACCACATAGTGCATTTGTAAAATATGAAAACAGTAGGTTAAATACACCATTTGCACATCTTTAAATTGTCTCATATATACTCTATTGTTTTTTCATTCCAGTTGCTACTCAAACTGCTTCTTCTTTTCATTTTAGTGTTGGTTACATGGATCTTCCCATTGATATTTAGGACTGCAATTGATCAGTCTCTTATCGGCATATGTACATCCTGTGAGTATTGCCTCGATATTGCCTTCAGTCACAAGTATTACAAGCATAGCAGTAAAATCCATCACGTGCGTTTAGTCCTGTTTGGGGCTCGTCAGCTAGACGTACCTGCATCACAAAGTTGATAAGCGAACGGTACTAGTCCGAGTACCGGAGTATGCATCAACGCTGGAATGCGAGTTCATCCAGCTGACGATTCCTATATAGAACGGAACGCGCGTCCTGGATTCCACTGATAGCGAACATAATGTCTGCTCAAGATGTTGGTTCGTTTCTTACTCCTATCCTCACGTTTCTCTCCCATCAGTAAAATCCTACTTCAAAATCTTGATCAATACTACTAATATCAGTCCGCTTAAGTAGCACATTCCACACCACAATATCAGGCAGGTCAGTTGAAGAACGGCAAGACTAAAACCAGCAACTTAAGGTCTGAGGGCGCAGTCGTATTATTTTTATTTGGCTTTACTAGACATTCTCTAAGAGATAACATTTTCATCATCTCACCTTTTAGGGATTGATCTCCTATCAAGAGATTCACTTGTTTACTTAGAATATGCAAATGATATAGTTTTCTTTGGTGAAAACGCTGACAAAAGACATTCTCTTGACCACCTTAAGCAACAGTATAAGCATGTTTGATATGCAGTTCTCTCCCTCCAAACGAAAAATGTTGCTTAAGGATTAGCTTGTGTTAGAGCCTAAGTTAATGATATCCAGTAAAGTACTTGGGCGTGCCGACTGTCTCATTTATTTTGGGAATCTTACCAGTACTGATGGTCTGGTGTCTGACAAAATCTCGGCACGGATTCTGAAGACTCAACTGGCTTTTGCCAACTTGCACCAATTGTGAGATATCCATTTTCCAACAAAAGAGCGAGTTTGTCACACAACATAAAGCATGTTCTAATTTATGCATGTGAAACATGGTCATTAAGAAAAGAGGATATTCGTAGGTTACAAAAATCCAACCATAGCGGTCTACAATGCTCTTGTATTTTGGAACCACGAAGTAAGCAATATCTAGGTTAGAAACATAGCACTTGGTGAGTATGGGAAATCGATTGAAGAAGTAGTGAATCTTCATCATCTAGGGTGGTTGGGATGTGTTACGTATGCTCAAGTGCCGTCTACCTCTATGAGCCATATTCGCTCTTGTAGTGTTATGTTTAGCGAAAGCTTGAAGCGGCCAAAACGAAAGATGCCATCAGTTCACCGATTTGTAGACAATTGGATTCAGCCATGTCAGTAGGTATAGACCACCACCCAGTTGTAGTCCACGTGTTTTTCATAGCCAATGGTTAGATTCATTGAATGACATGGCTCCAAATCGTTTGTAATGGCTCTGGTTCATTTGTCTTTTGTGTCACCCGAATTCTGAGCTTCTGGATTCCTCGTAATTTTCTTTATTTCACATATTTGTATTTTCTTCATGAATCGCATCTTCGATATCTAGTCTTTCCCATTAGCACTGGAACTTTTGCTATCTCTAATATTCTGGGATTTATCAGTATGGGGTTGTGGAGATTGTTCAGTTTTTGATTGAGATCATGAATCGATTGACGTTAGACCACCATTGAAAACCTGGAAGCACTGAACGGCCGTTTCGCTCTAGTATGGGACTCCTCAGCAGTACGCATCCATGATCCCGTACAAGGGATTCGAACACAGGGCCAAAGGTCTCGCCCGCAAACGCCTAATCTTTAGACCACTGAACCGGCATACAACCGATTTAATGTCTAACGTCAACGAATCCACGAAATTTGGTCCAGCAATTTCATTTCTCTGTGATAATGGGTCATGGCAACTTGAATCGGAGTACATACGCTGGGACTGACCTAGCAGATTTGTAATTGATTTTCTTTATCAAAAAAGTTTTTATTATGAACTGATTTTAAATAGCGGATCTCTGAAGACCAGAATTCACTAGGAATCCATTAAGTTTTACTTTGACAGTCCTCAATAGTGTGAGCCCCTGTTATCACTTGATGAGGATTTCACATTTCAAGTATTGAGTAGGAATCCAGTGATTAGTATTTCATTTAAGCTTAAATAAACATAAAAAGCAAGAATGTAAAAGTGTAGAATCAAATATACACATACAGAAGTAATGTATAGTTTACGTAAAATGTATATATGATTATCTTCTTCCGATAATAATGTCACTTCTAATCTCAAGCAATCTGACTGGAATGTTAATGATTCATGAATATCATTTGGCCAATACTGACAACATTTTGATATATTGTCTTCATATAATCTATAGAAACAATTAACCAAGAAAAAGTAACATAAAGTTTTGAAGTAAAGAAAATTTATTTATGTAGATTTTGTCTAGTTCAACAAAGATCGCAATTATGAACTTTAACAGTTTATTATGAAACCGATTATAGAGCCCATAGGTTTTGAGTCAACAGGATCTAATGAAGTGTATACGGATAAGAAGTAAAATATTAAAACGAAACAGCTGTTCAGTGTTGTATGACCTCCGATCGTTCTTCAGCCAATATTAATAGATGATGAAAATAATGAGTTCATTGTCATAGAATACTGGACTTGGTTTTATTATTTATTAAATAACTAAAGGATTAGTGATATTCACCATGCGTAATGGTATGCAATCATCCAAGGTTTTGATATCAACCTAGTCACAAAACAATCAACTATGGAAATATCAGGCAGTTTATTGTTTTCGCCATACAATGAACAATTATTTTGATGTTGATAAGATAACATCATCATCTTTGTTTGACTAAATATAAAAATATCAGTGAGTAAAAAGAATAGAAATACAAAAATGTCTTCAGTTCGCAAAATCAGTAACCATGTAAAATGGACATACACCGTAAGAGCATTCGTAATTATTTGAAATCATAGTTTGACAGAAATAGAATGACTAGTGTAGATTTATCTATTTGAACAAATAAATAATGATACGAAGGAGCATTAAATACATATGCACTACATAATAACAATGAGAACGTGAAGTGCGTATAAAAACAAGGAGAACGATATAATGAGCAATGCATAATAACGTCTCAAGCCACTGTGTTGCATAATCGATAGGATCTCAAACAGAGAGTTGTGAAGGACCAACAGAAGCCAGTCCCGTACAGCTTTCTTTCATACCACAACACCATGTCATACACTGACCACCTCTCCGATTTTTCCAACCAGTCCCAACGTAGGCAAATAATGCACGACGACGAATTCTCCAGAATGTCATTCGTAGAACATGTCCAAGCCATCGAAGTCGATGTTTCAAGATAGTGAAACCAATTGAATTATCGTCTCTGCACCCGAACACACGATGGTGAATTCCTGCATTACTGACATGGTATTGCCACTGGATGTCAGCAATCCTTCGGAGTAAACGATGATCAAGCACAGAGTCGTTTACATTCTCACTAAGACCACCCCTAATCTAATTTCCTTTTCAGGCACCTCCGGAAGAACCCTTCCATGGTGTGGGCAACCGAAAAGTGATAACCGCGCTCATACCTCTAACAACACTCAGGACCACTGTATTCATAATCAACCTCCCTCTTCAATTCCTATTATTCCTCCTACATCGACTTTCACCTCTAAACTTCCTCTTTTGGCTTCCTCCTCAAGTGTTACCATAGCCAACGATTCTAGCGCGCAAAAAACTGTCCCTGATCTAGTGAAACCTCGCACCAAACTACACATTGGAGCCTTCAACGTACACACCTTATGTCAGATCGACCAGCAAGCCTCCTTGGTTAAAACCCTAATCTCGTACCATTGATGTGTGCTGTGTCCCCGAAACACACATACAGGATCCTAGTGTGGTTATTCACTTAACCTCACCACGCCAAAACGGTAAGCCAACGAGATACACCCTCCGTGTATCTGGTGACCCGATGGCTAATTCTCGTGGACTGGCAGGTGTAGACATAGCACTAAGTGCGAGGGCGGGACAAGCACTATTAGAGTGGATTTCCGTTAACAGTCATCTATGTGCTGTTCGGCTAAACGGCTACGTCAGAACTCGGAAGGATAGGGACACACGTCGTTGCCTTTTTGTCGTTTCTGCCTACGCTCCCACCAACTGCAGCTCAGATGAAGTGAAAGATGAATTTTACAGAAAGCTATCTGAACTTCTTCAGAAAGCTACACGTTCAGACATAGTACTCGTAGCAGGTGACTTTAATGCCCAGATAGGTAGCTTAAACCAAACAGAAAGGCATTTAAGTGTGTATTATAGTATCCCAGCTCAGCGAACAGATAATGTTGATCGTCTGTTGCAACTATGCTCAGACAATCGTTTATTTTTAGCAAGCACTAATTTTAAACGTAAGGAGAGACATCGTCTAACATGGCGACCCCCTGCATCAAACCAACGATGAACTCAAGTAGACCATATTGCCATCAATCATCGTTGGAGAGGGTCGATCGAAGATTGTCGCCTATTCTGGAGTACGTGCTTGGACTCCGACCATGCTCTAATACGGACACGCATCTGCTTGAACCTTACTGGACGCAGAAAAGCCACACTAAGAAGACCCATTAGAATTGAACTGAGTGACGAGATAGCCGAAAGCAGATTCCAGGAACAACTGAGGTCACACTTAGGTAGTTCTGAAAACGAGGCTGATTCAGGTATGCTTGGAAAGATATACAAACAGGGTTACCAAAAACCGATTGATTTTTTCTAATCTATTTCACTGATGGATCCTTGTCAACTCATTCCATCAGGCTCCGAACATGATGAAGAGCGAAAACAAATCAGATCTAGGTTAAGAAAAAGTCTAAGGAACGACAGTGAGCAGTGGTAGGCAACGAAAGCAAGAGATGGAAAAGGTGGCGGCTGTAGGTAAAACAAGACAGATCTTCAGACTAAAAAAAGAAATTGGAATTATTAAGTCAAGTGTAAGTGAAACTATCTCGTTAAAAGACGACACTCTTATCTGCTCCCAGTCCAGACGTTTAAAACGATGGGTGGAGCATTCCAGAGAACAGTTCAGCTGGCCTTCAGCTACTTTACAACTACCCTTCATTCCCAGACAGTGTGAATGGAACATTGAAGTAGGTCCCCCAACTCTAGCATAAGTTCGAAAGGCTATAGTTAATCTGGAACGAGTAAGAGCAGCTGGTCCAGATGGATTGGTTCCAGAGGTCTTTAAGGATTGTGGTCCAATTTTAGCGATTAGGTTGACCAATAATTTAGCTGAGATCTGGGAGTTGGACGTAATCCCATCTGACTGGTCACAATCATTGATTGTCCCAATATATAAGAAGGGGTCAAAATCATTCTTTGATAACCACATAGGGATTAGTTTGACTAATATAGCATCTCAAATACTAGCATAAATAATTATCGGTCGCCTATCTAAGACTCGTGAACTTCAAACACGAGAATATCAGGCTGGCCTCAGACCTGATCGTGGCTGCATCGATAACATATTCACTATTCATCAGGTTTTAGAACACAGGCATACTTACCGGCTTCCGACAATGATAGCTTTTCTTGACCTAAAAGCAGCATTTGATTCGGTAGACCGAAAGGTTATGTGGCAGTATCTGTCATTGAACGGTGTACTTCTGTTAGCGGGACATAGACTAGATTAAAGCATGCTCAATGCATGATTGCTTTGGTGCACGCTGATTGGCTAATTCTTATCCAATCAGCACTAGTCGATAGTTGGAGAATACTCTGGAATCTTCTTATGTAAAAAACTATAAATATACTGACGTTTTCCCTATTGTGCTTCTGGCTTGCATCTTGCCTCCATCTAACCTTGTTATTTGGAATATAATCTCTTTCCTGTTCAACCATGTTCTGATTTGGGGACTTGTCGAGTGAATCGGTGTCCGAGAATACTAAGCAATAGGAATAGCTGGGTCATAAGAAGTAAGAAAACAGTTATAACAACTTCAGAAGCACATAAACCTTGTGAAGGCTCTTTACTCGAACGCTACCAGACGTGTCAGAGCTTATGGCGAAATGTCATCTGATTTCGAAATCTCAAGTGGTGTCCGACAAGGCTCTCCACTATCTCCATTTCTGTCCAGTTTTATCATAGATTTACTTCTGGAAATAACCTCGTCGTCTGGATTTTCAGGAATTTATTTCCTACCAGGAGATCCACTTGTCCACTTAGAATATGCAGATTACATAGACTTGTTTGGTGAAGACGCTGATAAAATGCAGTCTTTTGGGGGCACTGAGAAACTATTCCAGGATGTTTGGTATGGGTTTCTCCCCTTCTAAATACAAGTTGTTGCTTTAAGGCTGGCCTGCGTCAACACCCGAACTAAGGATAGGGAGTGATGAAGTAGTCGAACGCGTCGACAACTTCACTCATCTTGGAAGTCTGATCAGCCGAAACGGGTTGGTGTCTGACGAAATCTCTGCATGGATTCGAAAAGTTCGTTTGGCTTTTGCCAACTTAAGTCACCTATGGTGAAGACGAAATATCCGTCTATCAAATCAAGGGCGAGTATAATGTGTGGCAGTTTGTTCTGTTCTACTTTAGGGCTACTAAAAGTGGCCATCAAGAGTAGGAGATATTCTTAAGTTACTAGCATTTGACCACAGATGCCTCAGAAATAATGGTCGAATCTGCTGGGATCATCGAATTAGTAGTAGCAAGGTTAGAAGCAGGGTATTAGGGAATGATGGTAAATCAGTTGATGAGGTTGTGGATCTTCGTCGATTGAGATGGTCGGGCCATGTGTTACGTGTGTACATATTCAAATATTTCTTCTGAATCCTCTCACCTAATAACGAAAAAATGTCATTTACATGCCGTAACCAAACTTAAAGTGTAATTACATGTTTTATGGTCGCACTGGTTTCCAACGTATGCATCAGTAAATTCGCTGCAATCGGTAGAACTGGCAAACCCACCTTTGTCTTCGAAGATCACATAATATGATGAGATGAAAACACAATTACAAAAACTCAATGATCTCGGAATGATCTAACAGGCATAGTAAGTTTAAATGTTTCAGATTCTAAACAGCCATAAATAACATCCAACATTATTGATAGGCATATCAGCAAAGAAGCAAGAAACATCAAAACTTGGCATTATTTCATAGACTTTCATATGAATAGTACTGATATTATTCTTGAATTCAATGAAATTTCGGAGCCCATGATTAACTAATTTGTTATATGGTTTGAGTATCCTAAATTTTCAATTGTGTAATTTTCTTATGAACAAAATGATCAGCATGTCTTTCGCATCAGATAGAAGCTGAATTTATTTGCTGAATTGTATATTGGAACTAACGAACGTAATAAGTATGATGCAGTTGAAAAGAAAATCTGCTCCTTACGTCTTCGCTTCAAAGGAGATGAAATTACTGGAACAATTAACTACAGAATAGATGCTACGATGAAGACTGATAATCCAAAAGCGAAAACTGATAACTTTGCGTGAAACGAACTACTCTCTCACTTATATATAGTATCCAAACAATTTTTTAAAAAATTCAGTTTTCCAGCAATGTGTGAATTTTATAAATAAATCCCACTATTCCACGGATTTTCTGAGAGCCTTTTTATTTTACTATAAATTTCAATAAATTATTTCGCATTATCGTTGGACAGACCACATATATTGTTAAAAATCACTCACTTTGTAAGCATAACGATAATGGTGATATTTTGATCCAGAATCATTCTCCAAAAATCACCAACTGTTGATTCTAATGGTGCCTGTGATGCAATGTACTCTATTTTATTTCTGTTTAGCACGGGATGTGTGTGAACACTTGTACAAGGTATTATTTCATAAATAAAACTTGCATTTACATAATCGTGTTCCTATAAAGTGGACAAAATATATTAAGAAACTTCGTGCATATGTGTTTATTTGAGCTACATCAAGCAAACTGAGTAAATAAATATTTCGATAGAGCAATGAGAAGACGGAGTTGATCTGAAAAATGTGATGTCATTGCGCTAAACATTTCGAACAACCTGGTAACGCATACTTGTCAAGGTATTTTATATGAAAACTAATAAAAATCAGTAAAATGAAAGTTCATGTAAAACAAATTAATAAAGGGGAGATAAAGTTTTTTACACAGAAAAAATAAGAAATTGTCGCATCACCCTAGGCCATAAAATGACTTAAGGATTACCAGCGTAAATTCAAGGATACGACAAATTGTTTTTGTACATACAAGAGTGGTTTAAATTTACGAATATCCAATAAACCTGAGAATACATCCTTGACAATTTCTTCTGTACAACGTTTCAAAAGCTGTATTGATGTCAATTTTGTGCCCCGTTCCAATTATGTGCATCGCTATTGATGACCATGGATTTCTATTTCCCACGTTTATTGGATCATTTGACATTAACTGGTTTCGAAGCCATCTAGGGATATGTTCCATGGCCCTTGGTTGAATTTTTCGATTACTCTTCCCTATGTATATGTACCCGCACAAACATAAAAACAGGTAAATGCAATGGGGTGTGACGTAATCATCTGTTATACTGTCTAAGTCTATTTGGAATCATGAGCTTAAACGTTCTAATCACAATCGGTTTAGCAGCATAATACGTTTTCTCGATGGCTGCTTTCAATTTCTGTCATAAAACCGTACTATATGGTAGATAGATATAAATTTTTTTCTCCGTTAAAGTTTATAAATAAGTGCAGAAGTTGGTCAACATTAAGATCTTTCGTTTATTCACTTCCGAAGAAAATGAGTAGAGCGAGTATATCACATTTTTTAGATCAACTCCGTCTTCTCATTGCTCTATCAAAATTTATAAAATGGATTATTTGTTTTAAATAAATATCTCATCGAATAGCTCAGTAAGAACAGTTTGACTAAGAAACAGTGTGAAATCGTTAGGACAACTATTGCCCACTAGTTTGCTACGAATAATCCAAACCGAATTGTTGGGATATTCAGAAAAATATCCCAAAAATTATCCTCTTAAGTCTAATGATATCCTTAAACGTGAAATGGTGTCATTTTTCTGTTGGTCAATATTCAAGGTAATCCTAACTGTATAAATATGCATCTGTCTGTAAAGTATCATTTCTATTCCTATTCTTATCCTTCTCTTGACTCCATAAACAATTTCATTTACGGTTCGTGTTCTGATATGTTGGAGATTGAGGAACAGTACTGGGGTCGTACTGGGATATCCGAATTCGGTCAGTCGATAGAAATTAGAGTAGCCACCCCACAGTCCACAACACAAATCAAACTCAACACTACACACCATAGTGATCGAAACACAATCCAGCCATTGAATGGTGAACTAAAGATTTGATTTCTCAATTTCAATCCCTTTCCCATATGAGAGTAACAAATATCCAGTATCATCATGGTATGTTTACCTTATTTCATTTGCTAATCTGTCCAATTAATAAATTGTTGGGGACGATAGATCCCGAAACATAACATAAATAAACCTTGGTCAAAAAACGTTTTGTAAATTTAAAGTACATCAATCCAATCAGCTTCAAAACACTAATTATTCCCAGTAAAACACTTTTTCTATAGTTCTATCTATCGTTCAAAACATTACACGTAGTCCTCAAAATAAAAGCTTGACGCTGTAATAATAGAATTATTATTTGTTGACAATGACAGCTCTTTCAGGGGAAGGCGAAGTTTAAGGGTTTTGACCAGTAGATGCAGTATCCCGTCATTCTCAGCTTTTGGTGAAACGTCAGCAAATTTGGAATAGGTTATTCACGCACTTTTACCAACCAGAAATTTCCGTATGTGTTATATGTAGAGACTATATTCATAAATTCACTCAATAACAGATTATAGACAGGAATTTTAAAAACTTTTTGTTATATCCGGTGAAGATTAAATTACAGGTAACTTCCGAGGACTATTCATGGACTAATATTCTATAAATATTCTTATTGTATAACTACTCAACAATTACACTATGTATATTTATATTCCTTTTATGATAAGCTTTATTTTGACCTATAATCTATTATTGTACGACTTAGGGTTCTTAAGTTATGTTCAGTTCATTAACTACTGCCTCCCACATTCACAGCCACTTTTTGGGCTTATTTGTGTACAAATATTATTTCCTATTTTATGGCACGTTGCGGTCTGTCTGATTGATATATAAACCGGGTATGTCTGAAATAAACGATCTGGTCTGATCTGCTCTGATTCGGAAGCTGGTATCTTGTTCTGGACTCAAGTGGAAGGGCTCGTAGGACATAGGACCAATAAGGACGCTAAACTGCCCACACCGGTTGAACGTCATTGGTTGGCCTAGTGTGAAGATTCGTATAAGTCGTATTCGGATTGGTAGATAAATCGTGTGATAGAAAAACCAGACGTCAAGGTCATAACACTTTTGACGACATCTCTGGATTTTCTCTGAGTGAGTAGAAAGTATTGTACTATTAAGAACACTTTCTCATTTGTAACGTAGTGCGAATCATAAAAAAGATGGGTAGATATAAAATTAGTGTCTCATTAACTTAGAATAGAAACATGTTACTTTTATAGATTTGTTTTATTATCGACTAGAAGGTGATACAACTTCGAATGAGTTAAACTCAACACTGATTAGGTAGGTGACTTTCCACATGAAGCCGATTCATTAAATACCAAGTCAAAATGTCATAATTTTTTTCTAATAGGTGACTAAATTGCTAGAACTTCAATCATTATATTCCATGTTCAAACTTTACACTCCTCAGTTCAGTTTTGTCAGATAAATGGAACCCTCAACTGTTACACAAAAAAGTATAGTCCGAAATCGAGGAGGAAAATTTTTGGGTTGTCGCATTAACGACTAGTATATACAAATTGGAGCTAACCAAATTTAAAAAAGGCCATAATCAAAACTGTCTATGTAATAATCAATTCACAAAGATAATTAAAAACGTATTAAGAACGAAGTGAAATCATATTCCGAATGACAAGATTCTCTCGATAGAATATACTACCTTTATTATTCATAAACAGATCTTATTTTCCTAACCAATATGCGCTGTGTAAATTCTTACCGTAAGTATATTTCTTCTCAGCTCAAATAGACTAATTAAACAGTAGTAGATTGAGAAAAATAAATTACCTGTTTGCTTTTTTGAAGTGGATTTAACTTCACTCGCGTTTGATCATCTAAAAATGTTCAGATAAATTTATTGAGAGAATAAAACGAGAAATTAGTTGACTTTGCCGATTGAAATATTTATTAAAACATTAATATTTGCTGAAAGTTCGATCATTAAATGATCCACCTTTAAGGATCGTTGAAAAGATTATAATTAATTACGCCTGTTACCCTAAGTGGAGCATATGCCGGCCGACCAACATTCTCAAACACACTTTGTCCTGGGCCTTCCTTTCTAGTCCTATTCAATTATTGTTCATTCTTTTCATATCTGTCTCCATTTTTTGGCGTAATGTGTTCTTTGACCTTCCTCTCCTGCTTTGGCCTTGAGAATTCCAAGTGAGGGCTTGTGGGGCCCTTAATTTTGTCGTCATTTAGATCGAACGATGTTGTCGAAAGGGCTCTCCACATTAGTGGCCCGTGGATCTGACTCCACTTAGATCGTATGAATGTTTGTTATCGCCTATCCTCGTATATAATCATCGACTTAAATCACGTTAGTCAGTGACAGAATTAAATAAGTCAAATAACGAGAATGGACTTGTGAATACATATTTTGGGAAAACATTTATTGCACGGCCATTTTTGTATTTTTTTTCGAGTGAAATTTTTTTTCGTCCCTTTGGAAAAAATTTTCATCCCCATCTTCCAATAATTTTCATTCTGTTTCGTCCAATCAAATAACTAGTTTTGAGTTCGTTATAATTGGTCGTTTATTTCTTCAAATCGATATAAAATATGAGGATTTAATGGCAGAGCACATTTTCTTACAATTATGGACGGTAGTAGCATGCAGAGTACGAGCTCCGTCGTTCCTCACGTTGTCACAGAAACCGATAACCTATTCTTGAGCACATTGTATCTCGTAGCGTTCCAATCTCTTGAAGCGTTGAAGAGCGCCATTAGAACGTATGAAAGAGCCAAGTACTGCCATTATGTGGTGAGAGATTCTCATTTACATAGAGATCGGAAGTCCTATATTAAATTCGTATGTTGGAAAAATGGCCGTAGAACATCTAGCGGTTCCTCACAGCCGAGTAGACGAACGAGGTAATTTGATTTATGTTATTATAATTTTTCATTAAGGACTACTGTGAGCACTCAATGTCCTTCCTTCATCTTTTGTAAGTTCATTGAAGGTTACTGGACTGTTGTTCGTGGGAATGTGTACCACAATCACGAGTGCAATTCCCTAAGGTACCAAAGAAATTATTGGATGCGCAGGTTAACGGAGGTGGAATTTGAAACAGTGAGACCACTTTTGATATCTGGGACAGCGGCATTCAATATTGTACACTTTGTTTACCAATCTTATAGAAAGTGTATAGATCCTCAAGATGTTTTTAATATGCGCCACAAAGTGTTCTCACAAGCCAACCTTCCTGGTAAGCAATGTGCCTATTTAAATTGTCAACGTTAGGTGATTACTCCCAATTGAAAGATCACATCATGTCGCTTGGTGGCCTCTGTGAATACGACTTAGATAGAGATAACTGTCTGTTGTATTTCTTCTTCACAACAGCAGATCAAATGAGTTTATCAAGTCGATTTTTTGATGTTGTTGGTTTTGATGGGACCTACAAAACCAATAAGGAAAATTTATATTTGTATCAGGTTGTAGCACTTGATATGAATTTCATGGCAATACCTGTTTGTATTGCATTCATTAGTTCCGAAACATCTAATTTAATTGCTCATTTCCTGTCGTTCTTCCGCCGATCAACTAACAACCGAGAGGTGGTAGGCATTGTAACAGATGATTCACCTGCAATAGCTGCTGCCATTATGCAGGTGTATCCAAATTCCCACCACATTTTGTGTCGCGTACACATAATTCGTAATGTGTTAAGGAGGGTAAGTTTTTCGTTGCTTAACATTAAGCCATTAATCTTCATTGTAGAGGCTACGAGCGGAAACTGTACAACTTTTCTTCCGTCTGATGTTCACTAGAAATGTCGAAAGGTAAATTAAAATATGCATTACAGTCTTTTGTAGTTTCCATAGTTATCTTCCATTAATTGAAGCATCAGACGGAAATTTTTACCGACATGTGAGAGATCACTTGTTGCCTAAAAAGCACAAGTGGTCAAATGCTTTTCGACCCGCAGCGATGCTCTTGGGACAAAGTAATACGAATTTCGTTGAGATAACTCATCGGATTCTTAAATTGCATAAGCTGGACAGAAGAATACCCGTGTTGAGATCAATATTCAATGTGCTTCTTCGAACTGGATATATTGGATCGATGCGCGAATGGAGAAGTATTATTGTGATTGTCGTAATAAAACAATAATCGGTCGGGAGCCAGTAATATGTCGTCTTCGGGAAAGACTTACACCAGCTGCATGTCAATTACTGAAGCGGCATTTGCGCACTCCTATCAGTGAGGTTGTAATGTCCGTGGACTTGTCAACGGCTGTTGATGGTACAGGCACTTATACAGTCTGCAGTAATCCACTCAATTGTTCATGTGCTTTTTACAATGAAAACCGAATACCATGTCGTCATATTTTAGCCTACTGCATACGCAGTAATAATGAAGTGAACACTGAGATAATTAGCGATAGATGGTTGCAATCGGACAGGTACATTACTAGTGTTGCGATTGACAATACCTCCCCTGTTCAAATAAGACAGGCAAGTGTAAGAAGATCGCTGTATGCCTTAGTTAGGTGTATGTCCGAAGAGCAATGTACAATCGTGTATAATAATGCATACCAAGTTGTTTACGGTAGGATACCTCCAGCCCCGTCCACCTTACCTGCTGGTACAGAGTTTCAGATCGAAACCTCTACGTCCACTAATGTTACAATGCCGTCGATCCATCAGACAGCAGTTACCAGCTATCAACATAATGTTGATATGGATGAAACGTTAAGCAATGAAGAGGAAGAAATTGTTTCGATGAACTCAGAGGAGTTCACCGAACTAGACGACGACAATGACGAAAACGCGCATGACAACAGACTTTATGATATTTGCAATCTGGCGCAACCGCCACATGAAACTGCTGATGGAAGTACCTGGATTTTTTGTCCATGCGAAGCAATGCTTCATTTATTTTGTGCCTACGACCCATCAACACACGTCCATGGAATCCACTGTCCCATGTACGGAGCTATAATGGAATAATAGCAACGCCTTTGTTCATGAAACTCGGAACTGTTAAGAGAACGAGTAAAGGCCCTTTTCAGGGCCACCCACAATTTGATTTAAATTCTTTTGTTTCGATTCCTTATTTCCATAGCAAAGGTCAAGTGATCAAACCATGAAAATTCATTTAAGATTAATAGTCATTGTGTGATTAGCGCCTACGTATTCATAAACGCTTTTTAAGCTTTGTCAAATATACGATGTAAGTAAATGATTTCGTATAGGAAATGTCATCTAATGAACACTAATCTGTCTAACAATAGTACATGCGAAACTTATTCAGAATGTTTCAGTGTTTTGTCATAAAGTTAGTTACTATAGGCGAATGTAGTACTACCAGTTCACTAGTACAACGACATCATTTCTATAGGAAAGGTCAACTGAACCAACATTGATGAATTCTAATTAAGCCTTGGTGATTAAGCAATATAATCAATTGAGATTTATAAAAATTTCGTGGATTAGTTGAAGACAGACATTAACAGGTTTTTCATGGTGCTCCTCTAGCTTCAATTCACTCATGATCTCAACTATTCCAATAAAAAAATAATACTGTCTGACTATTCCATCCCAGTTTTGATCAAAATGTTGACTTTAAAAATAAAAGATACCAACTTCATTTTACTCAGAAAGTAGCAAATAATATTTATGATTGGGTTCTTTTTCAAACAGTAATTCTTAGTACAAAAGAGTTGTTTAGTTTCGCCGGAAAATGGTGTCAGAAATAAATGCAAGATTGTCAATTGTCTTATTTTGCTAATCCATTAAAAGCGTTACTTGTTTTTACCTGTACATTCTTTGCAGTTGAGCAGTTTAAAATTACGACAAAAAGTACTTGTCTATGTAAGTAGTCATGTGAATAGTTAGTTGTGCTCGTCAATTGGGCTTAACAAATTTTGCACGTAATGTCAACAGCATATTTGCAGTTTAAAGAAATCCCCATAGAATATTCTTATTACATTTTGCATGTAACATTGTTACAGATAGTTGCCACATTAAATGATATAGACATTTTATAAAACGTATAAATGTATTACCATCACATGAAAGGTAGTTACGTTTTTTATTTGAATAGTTGAGATCATGAGTGAATTGATCATTTTGACGTTTGGTAAATAAATGGTAGGCCTTTATTTATTACATTGACATTACACGTACGTATACCCAAATGTCACTTGATACAATTGACTTTGTTCGTATTAAGCTGTATAATTGAGATAGACATTTATTTTGTCAGACGTAGGCTTGTACTTTTACACTGAATGTAATCAATATTTCAAACACCTGTCAAAACTTGTTATTCAACAACATAGAATATTCTATGGAGATTTTTTTAAACTGCAAATATGCTGTTGACAATACGTGCAAAAAATATCAAGCCTAATTGACGAGCACAACTAACTATTCACATGACTACTTACCTAGACAAGTACTTTTTGTCGTAATTTTAAACTGCTCAACTGCAAAGAATGTACAGGTAAAAACAAGTAACGCTTTTAATGGATTAGCAAAATAACTCAATTGACAATCTTGCATTTATTTATGACACCATTCTTTTCTACTAAGAATTACTGTTTGGAGAAGTGCCCAATCATAAATATTATTTGCTATTTTCTGAGAGAAGTTATTACTATTTTGCATGCCCTATTCATTATTCTATCATGATGATTTATGGATATGTTGCTACGCATATAACGTTTATTAAAACAGCATACGATGTGTTCAGAAAAAAACTAATGGAAATACTTCGATGAATAATTTCTTTACTAATTGTGTATTAAACATTTGACCACCTTTCAACGTCAGTTATTACTATCATCAACTATTAAAACCAGTTATAAGTTTTTTCCAAAATTCTCTTCTAATGATCTAATCCACGAAATTTCTATAAATCTCAATTGATTATATTGCTTAATCACCAAGGCTTAGTTAGAATTCATCAATGTTGGTTCAGTTGACCTTTCCTATAGAATGATGTCGTTGTACTAGTAAACTGGTAGTACTACATTCGCCTATAGTAACTAACTTTATGACAAAACACTGAAACATTCTGAATAAGTTTCGCATGTACTATTGTTAGACAGATTAGTGTTCATTAGATGACATTTCCTATACGAAATCATTTACTTACATCGTATATTTGACAAAGCTTAAAAAGCGTTTATGAATACGTAGGCGCTAATCACACAATGACTATTAATCTTAAATGAATTTTCATGGTTTGATCACTTGACCTTTGCTATGGAAATAAGGAATCGAAACAAAAGAATTTAAATCAAATTGTGGGTGGCCCTGAAAAGGGCCTTTACTCGTTCTCTTAACAGTTCCGAGTTTCATGAACAAAGGCGTTGCTATTATTCCATTATAGCTCCGTACATGGGACAGTGGATTCCATGGACGTGTGTTGATGGGTCGTAGGCACAAAATAAATGAAGCATTGCTTCGCATGGACAAAAAATCCAGGTACTTCCATCAGCAGTTTCATGTGGCGGTTGCGCCAGATTGCAAATATCATAAAGTCTGTTGTCATACGCGTCTTCGTCATTGTCTTCCTCTCGTTCAGTGAAGTCCTCTGACCTAATCGAAACAATTTCTTCCTCGTCATTCCTCAACGATGCATCCATATCGACATTATTTTGACATGTGGTAACTTACAAAATACGAAGGAAGGACATGGAGTGTTTACGGTAGTCCTTAATGCAAAATTATAATAACACTAATTAAATTACCTCGTTTGTCTACTCGGCTATGAAGAACCGCTAGATGTTCTACGACCATTTCTCCAACATACGAATCTAATATACGGCTTCCGATCTCTATGGTAAATGAGAATCCCTCACCACATAACGGCAGTACGCAGCTGTTTCATAAGTTCTTATGGAGCTCGTCAAGTGATTGAGACGTTACGACGTACAATGTGCTCAATAATAGGTTATCGGTTTCTGTGACAACGTGATGAACGACGGAGCTCGCACTTTGCATGTTACTACCGTCCATAATTGTAGGAAAATGTGCTCTGTCAAGTCCTGACACTTTATATCGATTTTAAGGAATAAACGACCAATTATAACGAACTCAAAACTAGTTATTTGATTGGACGAAACAGAATGAAAATTATTGGAAGATGGGGCTGAAAATTTTTTTCAAAAGGGATGGAAAAAAATTTCACTCGAAAAAAAATACAAAAATGGCCGTGCAGTAAATGTTTTCCTAGAATAAGGTATATGGGCTTAACATAATAACCGACACTACAGGCTTGCCTTGTGACACAGTTGTATCTTCTGGATGGTGGCTTCCGTAGTTCTCTAAGTTTCTACCCCATACAGTAGAACTGTCTTGACATTTATGTTGGAAATTCTGACCTTGGTTTTGGTTGACAGTTGTTTTAAATTCCAGATGTTCTTCAGTCGTAGATGTGCTGTTCTTGCCATGACGATCAACGCCTTCACATCTGAATCTAATCCACCGTGCTCATCAATGATGCTGCCCAGATATGTAAAGGTTTTTACATCGTCCAAAGCATCACCGTCAAGTATGATTCGATTGGTGCGTACTGTGTTGTATCGGAGAATCTTGCTTTTACCTTCGTGTATATTGAGACCTACTAGTGCTACACTGGTCGCCTTCTCCTGTATCTGTTGTTGCGTGTGCGATAGAAGAGCCAGATCATCTGCGAAGTCTAGATCGTCCAGCTGCATCCTACCTGCACAATGTATCCCGTGCTTCCCCCAAGATGTTGACGTCTTCATAATCCAGTCAACAATCAGGAGAAAGAAAAAGGGTGAGAGTAAGCAATTTTGCCTGAATTCGGTCTTTACTTCGAACGTGTCTGTCAGCTATCCACCATGCACGATTTTGCAGCTTAATCCATCATAGAAATTCCATATGATATTGACTATCTTCTCAGGCACGTCGTAGTTTCGAAGAAGCCTTGTCTACGCTATCAAATGCTTTCTCGTATTCAATGATGTTGATGCAGAGTGATGAATTCCGTTTAACTGATTGTTCCACAGTGATTCGTATTGTTACGATTTAGTCGGCACACGATCAATTCTTATGGAATCCAGCCAGTTGGTCTCGAAATTGGACATCTACGGAGTCATTCATTCTGTTTAATAACACCCTGTTGAAGACTTTCCTGGTATTGAGAGAAGAGTGATGCCACTGCAGTTCTCACAGTTGCTGAGATCGCCTTTCTTTGGAATCCTGACCAGGTGTCCTTCTTTCCAGTCTGTTGGTACTCGTTCTTCATCTCAAATCTTACTTAAGAGAATGTGGAGTATCCTTGCAGTTACTGCTACATCTGCTTTCAGTACCTCTGTTGGAATGTTGTCTGGTCCTGCTGCTTTGCCGCTCTTGATTTTTCTGATGGCCATGCTGATCTGGTGGTCCAACATCGATTGGGAGGTCCATGGGTGCTACTTAAATGTTGGTGGATTCAGTGGAGCTGGTCGATTCAAGAGTTCTTTGAAGTATTGTACCCACCTGTTTCGCTGTTTTTCAAGGTTGCTTATTACTTCGCCTTCTTTGCTTTACACTGGTCGTCCTGGTTTATGTTAATTTCCAGCGAGCTTCTTTGTTGTATCATATAAATGTCTCATGTTTCCTTCTCTTGCAGCCTTTTCCACCGTTATTGCTAGATCTTCCATATATTTACGTTTGTCGATTCTAATGCTCCTCATCACTTACTTGTTTGCTCCTGTGTATTCAGCTTGCGCCTTGGCTTTCTCTGCTCTTGTTCGGTTGATATTGATAGTTGCCCGCTTGAGTCTTATCCAGGGGATCAACAGTGGTCCGTTCCTTGTGATCGTGCTTCTTGTGGCCTAGAACCTCATGACATGTTTAAGTAATTGCCTCCTTTATCCCTTTCCAGTTGTTCTCTATGGAACATGTTGCTGAGGTCTATCTTGGATTCCTTGAGTCAGTTAGCATTCTGAAGAAAAGCCGTATTAAACTTTTGTGATGTTTTCCGCCCCATCGTCTAGTGCTTCCTGAGAAGAGAAGCTAAAGAACGCGCAGTGGAGAAGACGATTGAGCCAACTCAAATTTAGCCAAGCGTGAATCGATATTTATAGTTGAACAAGAATAAGTTACAGAGATGTTATGAATAGGTTAAGAAGTGCATACACATACGCTCATACAAAAGTTGATAAGTGAATAATTGGCTAAGTCAAAATGTTACCCAGGAAGAATGAAAATAAACTGATCTGTCCGAAAGCTAGAATAAGCTGTGTGGGTTTAACATAGCAACCGACACTATAAGTATATGTATTCAGAAACCGGTTATTTTATTGTAGGCCATCATTTGTTCGTCTTAACGACACTGGCAAATGATATTGCATCAAAAGTAGCATCAAGTTTGTTAGTGTAGTAATCTAATATTGTTATTTATCAAAACAAACGGTAATATTAAAAATACTACCGTTCATTCAAAAGAATTCTACAAGTGGGTTTCATTGGCGTTGAATGTTGAAAAATAGCCAAAAAGCCGGACATTATCTGTTGCATTTATTCAACATTTCAAGCAACCAGGAATAGTAGTCGTTACCTAAGGCTTATCGATTAACGGTAATTTTCATCATCAACATACGGTTTGAATTATTTATAACGGTTATTTTTTAGAAAAAAATTATACATAATGTCACGATACTTATAGGATAGTGTTAATTAGAATATGGTATAACGCAGGTATGTAGGCAAGTTAAAAGTAGTAAATGTGAGGTAATTTGGAAGCATCATTCATGAAGTTACTTTGCTTAAAAGGTAAGTAAGTACCGCCACGTCGAGTATATTTTCCTAAATGATTCATTACAATGTGAATGATAGAATTTAATCAAAATTAAGAACTAAAAGATATGACGTTAGTTATTACAAAGTGACTGATTAAAGTCAAAACCTTAGTTCTCTATAGCAAATCAGCCTTAATCTATCTAAATCAATGGTAGCATTTCCCACAGTAACAATAGACGATACCAGTAAACCTTAGTGACAAGTTCTATGTGGTTAGTTACTGTTTGCCGCCTCAGATTACTTGACACAAAACCATATGAATAAACTTTATCTGTAATCAAATGGATAATTATTAACAATCTTTCACCAACTGCTTAAATTTTCAATTCTTTACACATAATAACTAATCTACTATAAACCAATATTTAGTGTACCAATTACTTGGCTAGGAAACTGTTTAGTTATTTTTATGAAACTTTACTATTGTTTAATAATCTGTTTTGCCAGATTTTCACTTTAAAATAATTCAATGTTAATAATTGTATAGTGTAGTGAAAGATTTATCAGACTGAAAAAAAGTAAATATCTGGTGTTAAAAACCTAATATTTTTTATTTATTTCATAGTACACTTACACGGTAGAATATCACTAAAACGATTTAATCGTTTATTTATATTCTTTTGTCCGATTTCTTGACTCAACATATCCGATTGTATTAGAAATTGACTGTTACTGATTATTAACTAAACAATGAATATAAAAAGAAAATTTATTTTGATGCAAATGCATAAATATTCACTAGAATAGCTATAATTCAGAATCCATGCCGAAACATATCTATACCCTGACGATATATGCTGGTTGTTAACGCAGTAGGTTGAAACAAGGATGAAGGTAGACAAGCTAACACATGATATCAGCTAAAGAAATCCTTGGCTGTTAATTCAAGTTGTGTGGTAGAGATATATATGTCAAAGCTGAGATTTATGAAATAATCAAAATTAAGCTTCTGAGACCTTAAGTGACTAGTTAAAAAACCATTCACAATGATCCAGGTAGGTTCAGTTGTTGTCTCTTTTTGTAATACGGGCCTATTATTGTCAATTCATTAATTTCTTTCCTCGATGTTATTAAATTCAAATTCCCACGCCGATCGATACCAGTGGTTCCTTTTTGTTTCTGATTGGCTGGGTCAATTGGATATTTTAGTCTAAAACCAAACTATAGGTGGAAAACGTTGACGGATGCAGAGTATTAGTCGATGTTTGATCTAATCACCCGAGGAAAACAAGACATGAAAACGATCGAAGTTTGGCTCAATTATCCGTCAGAGACATCTGTATCTATGAGTCAGCTAGTGTGCAGAAGTTTTCCAATAAAGCTTCTAATGCTGTCCCTTATCACATAATTAGCTGATTGAGCTCACATATAGGAAATCTATTTGTCAGGAGCAAAACAGACGACAACCCAACACAGATCTTTATTTTATTGATTTCCTGGAGCTAGACTCATCTGGAAATCTTCAACCTGGACTAATGCATATTTGTGATAAGTCCTACGTCATCTATGACTACCGCAATGTTGAATAATGATGAATATTATCTTGTAGTATAGATAATGAAAATAAGCTTGATATGTATGTTTACTTGTAAAATGGTCGACTTTGGAATTGTCGAACAAAGAATAGCCATCTTGACTACTTAATGAATTACATTTTGCAATGTTTACATAGTTAAATAAACCACCTTCAGCGTTTCTGTCACAAATAAAGTTGTCGTGTAAAGATTTTGATTGAACTGCAAAAGCCGAAGAATCCTTTAAAACCTAAAAGGTTTGAATAGCATTTCAGTCCTAGTCTTGGATTTCTCAATAATGCATATTCACAACTTCACAGAGCAATCCTATTAAGCCTACTCAAGTCTCTTGGGTAACAGTGTAGCAGTATGCAGTAGGAACCCAATAACGATACTGAAAAGAACATTTTCCCAGGTAAAATATCGTCAATAACCCTTATGAATGACGATGAATATTTCACCTTTTCTCCCTATCTGGTTTGTAGCTTTATATAATAGATTAGTGATTGAACAATTAAATATTAAACACTAAGTGATAGGTTTAAATAAAAATCGATATATGTTGAGTTAATCCACCGAATAGCAGCACTAATCTTTATTCATTTATCAGTAACCTAAAACTAAGTGGACAAATGTGTCTGTGGACAATGAGTTGCATTACTCAAGAAATCAGTAATTATTCATTTTCCTTCCACTGATAGAATTGGCACCGATTTGTATATTTTCTCTGTTTGAAGATTTGTTCACTATGAACTAGAAACTGGTACTGAATAATTAAAATTTTAAAAAAACCAATGAAACAATAACAAGAATAATGAAAATTTATTACGTACTTGATATTGTACTTTTAGTGTTGCGAATGAATCTTTTGAATAGTTTTCATATTGTGCCATAAACGTATGGGTTGTAACTGGTGTTGGCCTACACAAATGGTAGACCAAAAGATAAACAATAGTTCTAAATTACCAGGAGAATTTGGTTTTAATCAACAGAACGAGCTGATAATTATCTTGGAAAGATAACTGACGAATAAATGGCTGATTGATGAATTATATGCAGTGATACAATACGATCAAGGAATTATTAACTATCTAGTTGGATTTATTAATTTAGTGCAATCACTTATAGTTATCGAACTATTATCGGTTAGTCAGTCGATTATAGAAAATGTAGGACCTGGCACGAATATGTACGGTCTAAGTTGCCACTATTCCAATTGGAACGTCGTAAGATGAGGCTAAGAAGAGAGCATTATTTAGGTGTCTTCACCAAGGTTCGAACTAATAACTTCAAGTAAATTGAGTGCTGGGTAATTCGTTAATCATAAAAATAATCTAAGCCACTACTTCAGAAATTTATTTCTCTGAAAAAGTGACTTATACAGAGGCACTGAAATTCAAGAATTTTACTTTTCATTGGGAAATTACAAATATATCATTACTATTATCATTCTCAGTTTTGGTGAAACGTCCTTTTACCAAATTCATATCCATAAATACGTTGAAATTCATTTGTAACATTTGATGCTGCAGTATTACAATTTGTAAGGAGTGGTTGTGGTGAGTCTAATGAAATAAAATGAAATTACGTTATTCACCTAGTTGTTCTTCATCGCTTTCAACATACCAAGCATGACTTAATGATGAACAACGTCAATTTAAAAGTAGAAAGCATGAAATGATACTAAACTCAAAGCATACAATAAGGTAACATCAAAGCTATTTGATTAAATAAATATTTCATGTAAAGTCAAATAATTGGAGAGTAATTTTAATCATCCACTGGAATCTTCGTTAAATTTCATCCCTAGATAATCCTGCATAATCATCACCATATTTACTAATATAATTTTCTATAGAACACTGTGTTTCAAAGGAGGTTAATTTTCAGCATAAAATGATTTTACTTAGGGAATCATTGACATTACAAGGAAGTAAAATAAATCGTTACTACTGATACTAGATGACAGTTATTCTGTATTGTAAATCAAATGAAAGGAAAAATTTTGACGACTTAAAAATTAACTCGATTACTGAAAGACTCCATACTTATCACTAAATCTTAATTTTCAGATTCGATCCAATGTGAAGCGGTGGTTGTAAACTGCCAAATAGTCTTCAGCTACAAAGAGACAATAGTCACATGATTTTTAATAGTACTACCGTGGTGTATTCTACTTATGCTGACAGATATAAGTAGTATGTAGACGCAATCAGAGGATTGAAATGAACAGAGCTCAAAGGAAATCGAAGAGCTATCGAAATAACAACTGAAGTAGAGGAATAAAGGAGTATGTAAAGGGAAAGTCAAAGATGTGCAAATAATGTATTTAGTATGCAGTGACTCACTTTTATCACGAGAACACGATTGGTTTAATGAAAGCAATTATTATTATAACCAATTGTACCAGTGACTGTTTTAATGTGCTTTTGTTTAACTGTGCAAAAAGCATCCATTATTCTTACACTTTGATTGTGACCTCGCGCGAATTCGGTTACGCTCTGTAACCAAGATTGTGTCCTGGCACGATCTCGGTATTCTTTCCATACCACGAGATCGACAACAAATATATCTCGACTTGGTCCATTAACTGCCTTCTGATATTTGGCTTCCCGGGGATTTTATGGATTTCGTTGGCACGTGTTTCTTGGTAGCGATGTTCATAGTCAATTTCGACTCGACGCCACGCAACAACTGGTGAGCCGAATTCTCGAACACGCCGTAACCTCTGGTCGAATCTTCCAAAGAAGCCAATTCGGTGAGTCTATGAATTATCTATCCACGTCTGTCGTATATTTCCATATTGCCTTTCAATATGTAATATACGAGACATAACGGATAACGATAAAATAGTATTAATATAATAGACTCCCATGTACGTGTACCGAATCCTTGTCACTTTTTATTCCCGTGACGGTAAATTCCACACTTTATTCGAAAAATTTTCCCCTATTAACTATTCTCCTCGCTGACCCGGCTGCTTGGTACGGAATGCATACGCATAAGCATATCCGTCTACCACCCAGCACCAAATGGTTAAGTTGAACGGTTTCATTGCCAACTTAAAAGTGCTCTACGAGCACACGAAAACAACAACTGGTACGAAGCCTTACCGCTCGTTCTCTTAGGCATCAGAACGAGCTTGAACGCAGATATCCAATGTTCCGCCGCTGAACTGGTATACGGCACGACATTGCGTCTGCCCGGAGAATTCTTCACACCACGGAGCAGACCTGGTTTCGGTAAGTCAGATTACGTCCAACGACTGTCTGCATTTGTGCGAACGCTGCCTCCGGTGTCAACTCGAACACAACATCAACAGGTCGCTCTCCCTTGAGAGTTATCTACCTGTTCACATGTTTTCATACGAATAGATTCGGTACGCAAACCTTTGCAACAACCTTACGAAGGCCCTTTTCACGTGATCGCTCGTCACAGAAAGACCTTCAAGGTTGATCGACATGGCCGCGTCGAGATCGTCAGCATTGATCGTCTCAAACCAGCAGACGTCGATGACAGTGCCCTATCTGACAACCTGAGATTCAATGCTAGACCTATCAAACCTACTAGCGGGATCCTTAAATCTTCAGGTCCCACGCTAGATGCATCTGAGACCTCATTCTCACGTCCTGGTCAACAGCACGCGTCATCTGCACCATCTACGGACGAGACGACAGTCTCACGTCCAGATCAGCAGACCACGTCGCCCTTGACTTCGGATGAGATTGCAATCTCACGCGACGCAAACGAGACTACCGTCTCACGTTCCAGTCGCCGAGTACGGTTACCCGTACGCTTCAGCGATTAACCGCACAGTTAACAACCGATACGGTGTAGGAATATTCCTATGCTATATGCATGCTACACTCTTCTCTTTTTTGATTTTTTTCCTATCCTGACCCCACGCCTCCGACCATCCCCGTCTGGTACCGTCGACTTTGGCGAAAGCTAGATTGGCCACCCACGCTCTTGTCAACGGACTCAGTCGATATTCTGGTTTCGAATGTTTGGCATACGCTTGGTCTCGAACTTGGTCGTGATGGTCGCTTCTGGTTCCTCAGGTCAACGTGGTTTCGTCCTACGTCTCCAGCGTTGCTGGTCCGCATCCCTACGAACGCAATCTTCAGATTCTGGTAACAAACCACTCTGGTGTGGTATGCCAACTCGAGCAACAAATACAGCACATCGCCCCTGGTACCGTTCTCCGAAAAAGAATTTCGTTGGCAACCCGACGATCAACGATCACTTTCCTGTTCGCCGATTCTTCCGTCCAACAATCGCTCGTCAGCCGATCAGTCTCACGATTTAAACAGCGATTTATCGAAAGTGTAAACTCTTTCTAGCGGGGGGCTCCTGTAGTGACTCACCTCTATCACGAGAACACGATTGGTTTAATGAAAGCAATTATTATTATAACCAATTGTACCAGTGACTGTTTTAATGTGCTTTTGTTTAACTGTGCAAAAAGCATCCATTATTCTTACACTTTGATTGTGACCTCGCGCGAATTCGGTTACGCTCTGTAACCAAGATTGTGTCCTGGCACGATCTCGGTATTCTTTCCATACCACGAGATCGACAACAAATATATCTCGACTTGGTCCATTAACTGCCTTCTGATATTTGGCTTCCCGGGGATTTTATGGATTTCGTTGGCACGTGTTTCTTGGTAGCGATGTTCATAGTCAATTTCGACTCGACGCCACGCTACAAATATATGATTTTCATATTTTACGAAGGCACTGAGTAATTTTGCATTGAACGGTAAATTGGTTTTCCTCACCAAGCCTTTGTTTAATATAGCAGGATATAATATTTTTTTGTAAATGTATTATCGATAGATTATATTCTAAAAGTTATCGTTCACAACACCACAACCAATGTCAGTTCAAGATAAAAATTACGCTAAAAAATGTACAACTTCGAACTTTATTAATATGAACATAGTTTTATTTAAACCGGAGGTTAGTTTGATAAAACAAATAAGGTACTGTCATAAGATAGGAAGTAGTAACTGACACTGTATTCTAAATTTATTCAGAAGATAGATCCGATGTATTAAACAAGTTAGTCATTGATTTTCTTTTTAAGACTTTATATTCTACAATTGCTGATATCCAGGACTGAAGAGACCGGTTTTTGTCATACCAGAAGCTTCTCGAGTGGATGCTACGATGCTGTTTAATTTTACAAACTGCTTATTTTCTACACAATAGATGGTAATGGAATCCAGATTATTACCTTCATTCCATTAGAGATATGTCATTTGGATGTACATGTCTTTCAATACTAATTCTCATATTTGAATACAAGACCTGAAGCAATCTATTGAAGTGATAAAGCGTTTTTAATTAGTCTTCTGAGTGACAAAAGGAAAAATCAAAGGATTTGTTCAAGACGCCTGACGAGGACTGATGAAGTAAATGTAAATTCTGCTAGTGAAAAAAAGGAAATATATCTAAGTATTAATTAATATTATACTCGTTGAGTTAGTTGGTTACAACCGTGACTCATTAGCCTAGTGGATAAGTCATTATCGTCTGAAGAGATGGTAATGAGTTTTAAATCTAACTGTGAACATCAATACTCAGATTCAGGTAAATTTTACTGTCCAGTCAAATTGTATAAAAAGCTTGTCCAGGATATAATTAAGAGTTATCACGTGATCAGTAACGTCAATATTTCATTGAGTTTATAGATTTAAAACAAATTAGAAAGCGCTGATTGAATTTAAAACTTGAAAGAATATTAAGACATGGTTCGATCTTCTGTAAATATTGATTAACGTACATATATTTATATTCAGCTTACATACTGCGCATATCTTATGAGCTTAACTTCTTTACGATGATCCTGTACTAGCTAAATGATACTGTTTACAAATCATCTGACCGTTATACACTATATATGTAAACCTAAGGTCAAGGTATTTTTAAGATATGAATATATTAAAAAGTAAATCCCCTGAAGTTCCATAACCAAAATATAGTTGCATATGAACTTCAAAGAAGCTTATATTAGTTGGTTAAATTTATAAAACCGTATACTATCATAAACTTCATCAATAGAAAAAATAGGAAAAACTATATTTTTGGACAGTAGCTGGCAATATAATTCAGAACATGGTTTTCCTTCTATTTTGAAATACTTGTTTTTTAATTTTGATATGTCCCAGCGAAACTGGGTCTGACAGTAGTACTTACTAATCAAAATAAAGTCAGACAGTGTCATAACATTCGTTCAACAAGATCATCCAGAAATAGCGACTTATCGCTGCTATCTTGAATAACCATTAAGAGGCAATAAAACTTCAACTAATAATTATATATAACTAGTATAGGGATTGTGGAGATTATTAAGTTTTTGATTGAGATCTTGAACCAATTGATGTTAGACCATCACAATTGAAAACCTGGAAGCACTGGACGGCCGTTTCATCCTATTGTGGGACTCCTCAGCAGTGCGCATCCACGATCCCGCGAGCGGGATTCGAACCCAGGGCCTTCGGTCTCGCGCACGAACGCTTAACCAACTGGACCACTGAGCCGGCATCCAATGGTGATAGTTTCTAACATCAACCAATCCACGAAATTGCGCGACCAACTTCCATTGTACCTAAGTAGATAACTGTCTCTACCCGACAAGGATTAGCTCCACTGGTCACGGCTTCTCACTAGAACTCCGAGAATTCCCTCACGAAGCTAGTCACTAGTGAGCACATGTTGATTACTAGTATAGGGATTGTGGAGATTATTAAGTTTTTGATTGAGATCTTGAACCAATTGATGTTAGACCATCACAATTGAAAACCTGGAAGCACTGGACGGCCGTTTCATCCTATTGTGGGACTCCTCAGCAGTGCGCATCCACGATCCCGCGAGCGGGATTCGAACCCAGGGCCTTCGGTCTCGCGCACGAACGCTTAACCAACTGGACCACTGAGCCGGCATCCAATGGTGATAGTTTCTAACATGTGCTCACTAGTGACTAGCTTCGTGAGGGAATTCTCGGAGTTCTAGTGAGAAGCCGTGACCAGTGGAGCTAATCCTTGTCGGGTAGAGACAGTTATCTACTTAGGTACAATGGAAGTTGGTCGCGCAATTTCGTGGATTGGTTGATGTTAGAAACTATCACCATTGGATGCCGGCTCAGTGGTCCAGTTGGTTAAGCGTTCGTGCGCGAGACCGAAGGCCCTGGGTTCGAATCCCGCTCGCGGGATCGTGGATGCGCACTGCTGAGGAGTCCCACAATAGGATGAAACGGCCGTCCAGTGCTTCCAGGTTTTCAATTGTGATGGTCTAACATCAATTGGTTCAAGATCTCAATCAAAAAATTATATATAACTTTAAAAGCATGGTTTATTGATTTACCCATGTACCAAGTACAGATTTATGTTATTTTATTTTAATTCAACACATAGATAATGGTACAAAGAGGCACCAAATACATATGCGCCACACAAATCTCATTCGATATGAGTGAGGGCTGTGATGCTGCCTGGGTGCCCAAACCGAAGCAGATGGTTTTCTTAGGAGGCCACTCCTCGAGCCTTCGACCTGAAGGTCTGATCCACAAGGCAGTGGAGAATCGTCAGGAGATGCAGTCCTATGAAAGCCGGTGACCAACAATTGGTTTATACGCCATTTGTTCCTTCAGGATATTGGAGCCCATGTGCAACATTGATTTGGTTTGGGATCCGGTTAAAGCGCCGGACATTCGCTTTTCGTCCTCTCATTTTCACAAACAACACCCCCGCCACGAGAAGACAGTGAGTAGGACTTCCCTGGCAGAGGCTATATACGCGCGGCCATGTGAGAGAATTTCGAGAGGGAGAGCGGACTCTCCCCACTCTCGGCCGTACCAGGGCATTTGGGGGCTATGTACTCAGCTTTGAGCCACACTAATTGTATAATGTATAGCAGTACTACCCGGATGCTGATATCCGAGTAGATGAACAGAGTTTCTAATCGGGGACCTACTAGTTGAAAGCTAAGTGCTTTAAGCAATGAGCTACTATCGCTCTATTTATGTAAAAGTATAAAAACATCTAAAATGTCTATCTGAAACGGTGATAATATTATCTACTTCTAATGGAAATTTAAAAAGTGAATATTAATTTGCATACAATTAGTTCAAAACTATTAATAATACTTGAATCTCTGCTCACTAGTCTTGTACATAATGAACAGATATAATTTAAAAACGTTAGACAAAGAAACTGAAATGTGGAAATAGTGGACGTTAACCAGTACCTAAATACGTACCCAACCTGAAAATATAATAAATACATATTTCAACCACTAATTGTTGCCGATCATTGTATCTGTATTTTTTCCAACTATTTATAGATAAAGTATGATGAAGGTACCGAACCTGAAATGGGATTTGCTTTTGAGATAACGATATCTGTCGAGAATTTTTTAAAAAGTGAAGCACGAAATAAATTTTGTATCTAGATAATGTATTTAACTTTATCTGTTTTCATTAAACACAAATGGCGTTGCACTAATAACATAAATGAAATATATTGAAAATAAATAAAATCTAGTAGACGCATTATTTAAATATTGAGACAATATTAATCTTGAAATTTGCGCCTAGATAAACATTTCATTGGTATTTCTTTTTTTTATGAAGAGAAGTTTACTGCTTCATTGAGCTACACGTTTTAACCATGATAAATTACTATGAATAGCGAACGACAGATCTATACAAATTTATTACCGAATTTGATGTAGTACAATAAAATTACCACATGACATTGGATTTAGCGTTGGGTCTAACATTTTCAATAACAGCTCACATAATTAAAATCAATAATTATCATCAGTTTTCCTGGTGTTTGCATAATCCATACTGACAATTGTCACGTGCTCACTAGTGACCAGCTTCGAGAGGAAATTTACGGAGTTCCAGTGAGAAGCTATGATCAATGGAGCTAAGTGGTGTAGGGTGTAAGGAAGACACCCATGGAAGAAAATGGAAGATGGTAGCGCAATATAGTGGATTGATTGAAGTTAGACTTTTACAGCATGAGATCGCAGTCTGATGGTCTAGAACCTAAGGATTCGTGTACGAGGATGAAGGCCCTCGGTTCGATCCCAGGTTATAGGGTGATAAATGCGCATTGTTGAGGGATATAATACTAGGAAGAAATGGTCATCCATTCGTTTCAGGCTTTCAACAGCTGTCTAACTTTGATCATTTCACGATTTCAATAAAAGTCAACCATTTCCATAACCCATACTGTGAACTATATTTACCGGTTAAAAACACGAAAATATTACGATCAATGAATTATGGTATAACTTTGCTTACCATTTCATGGATGTACATAAATTTGGAAGGTGGGTTCTGAACAGAAATAGTACAAACAAAAAAATTGTCAATAACAAGACATATTAATTAACAGCATAAGTTTTTCCTATCAATATAATCAGTGATGGTGATATGTAAAAATTTAATTCTCAACCAACAATAAAATTATTTACCAATGACGTATTATCTTTTTTATTTCGTAGTAAGTAATGTATCGTGAAGTAAATAAAAAATTATATTATTCATCATATTAGACAGCAGCGAAACCGTTTTCTACGACATCATTTTCTTGGGCTGCTCAATCGTATTCCGAGATACTTTTTATACGTAGTATTTAATAGCAAAATAGAGGAGTGTTACACATATATAAAAAATAATCGAACTTCAGTAAAGGGTTGCAGAGACTGATGAATTTCACTGAAACCATGAAACGATCTAATTTAGACCACCACTGAAAACGTGGAAGCACTGGACAGCTATTTGGTCCTAGTTTGGGGATCCTCAGCAGTGCACATTCACGATTCCGCATGGGAGACTCCAGCCCAGAGTGTCCACTAAATTTCATTCAAACCACCATCACTTGTTTATTCTGAGTACATTATTGAGGACAGGGAATGAGATTGAAGTTCTCCTTTTATTCAGCGGCATTCAACTATGTAAGTTCGTATACTACCGTTTAACTATCTTCGAGAATTTTTGAAACACTTTATAAACAAGATGTACTAGATGGCTTAGTGGTCTAAAGGTTAGGCGTTCACACTCGCTACAATATGTCTAGGGTCCGATCAACGGTGGTTCGTGGATGCACATCACTCAGAAGGTCAAAATTAGGATAAAACTGCCATCCAGTTCTAGAACTAATCTCCATAAAAGCCCTATATTAATAAGAATAATACTTATCAAATGGTAGAGTATTAATTAAAGTACAAGTTCATATAGGTAAGTAACAGTCCTTGTAATACTAACGTAATACTAAGTTGCAAATTAATGGATGAGCGATTTAAATATGGAGTCATATTAGAACCTGGCAGAAAGAATTTGATTATCTTTCAACATCACATAGAAAGACCATAGTAATTACCCAGTGATTATTAAACGTTGAGGCCATAATTTTCGAACGACATACGAGCGACGCTCAAATGACCATGAAGTGTCCAACTACATATTAGGGCTAGAACAAGGTTACATATCACTGTGAGGAATTGTACGATTGATGGTTAGGGTTCGAAATTAGATTAAACGTATTCATCACGAACTGGCATCCACTTAAATACCAAAATACCGTTTGGCCAAATGGATGAATAAATTTCACGAAAACATCGACCCATCATCTGATGGGTTTGGCCATAAATCATAACCTGGCCTAATTAACCAAAAAAACTTTGCTTTACGAGATTAGCTGCACCCAGAATACTTAAATAAAAATGTCTTTGACTATGATGTTGAGCGATAGTAATACTTATACCATGTAAAAACACTTACTTGGGTACCGCAGATGCGATTAAAATCCCATCCAGTACTTTCTGTCTATTACCTCTAGTCACCGAATCTATAAAAAACTGATTTGACGTGACTGAGCACGTCCAAGTGTTAAGTATTTCTGATTTCATCTTAAAATGCAACGCAGAATTTATCACCTCAATGTAAACTGATCGTTTGAGTGTTTCCAAAATTACTTAAATGAATAACAATCTATCACTCATGAGTAGTACATCTGACATTAATAAACCATATATTCAATATTTTATTAGTAGAGATGGTTTAACTAAAGATACACCAACGATGTAAAAATTATTATCCTGTACATTAGCTATTAAGGTTGTATAATTATTACTTTATTGAATCAATATACTGAGTATTATATGCATACATTTTAGAATTCCACACTGCATATGATGAATAGATTAGATATATCTTAACTCAAATTACAAAATAATTAAACTGGCCAAAGAGGACAATTGATAATAATCATCGTATTAAATTTAAACAGCTACACCCAGTGTTCGCTTTGATGGTTTATGTAGAAAATTTTATCATAAAAATAGTTTTTGTTACAGACTAGAATTAACTGTGGCATTAATGAGAAACACAGACCACTGGTTATTTTGCTTTGGCTAGGGACTGCTAAACAATGTGAATTTACCAACCTACAGATTTTCTGATTTCGTAGTGCGTATGATACTCTAAGGCGACGTTATAACGATTCAATGGTCCAGTTTTTAATCCATTGTAGAGTTGTGAGTACAAGCTAGAATGGAACATCTATCTGATGTACTCTGGTTCTCATTAATGCTTCATGTGACGCCGATCTTCTATCTTTGAATCGAAAATATTTTCGGAAAATGCAGAAATATAGCTATGAAATGATTATTTTTCTTTCGTTTATTTAAGAAAAAATAACAAAACTAACCGATCCATTATCTTCTGTGAATAAATATCTTCATTAATTATTGATTTATTATTGATTTTTCCCCTTGCGATATTATTATAAATATCATTATTCTTGGGGATAGTGCTTCTTTCAATAAGACGATAATATAATAAACCGAATGAGGATATAGCCAATATGAACAATGACCACAAGATACAACATGTGATCAAAATGATAGTAGCTAATAAGTAATACCATACATTTGAAATGGAAAAAAAAGTTTATGAGGGAATAGATCAATAGTTAAAGTTTAACTATATAGTACCAAATATTTTTTTTATTATAATGAACAATAAACCATACCACTGATTCTGTATCAACGATGGGAATGGTTTTTGTAGCTTAATAGTATTGTCAGAGACATTTAAGTTAAATGTTGTAATTGAGGCAATATGAATCTAGTTGTGTTACTAATAAGTTTTTAATTGATCATACTTTTGAACATCAAACACAACATGTTGTGACATGTGTTGATGAAATAACTGGTGGAAAGATTAATTAACGAGCTTATACGACATGTACACACTATTATATCTTTTGTCTTATTTGTTTCACTACGTTATATAAAATATATTCAAGACTATTTAAGTAGCTGTGTGGTAATAAGATTAAGAAGTAGATTATTGAAAATGGTTTTGATTGTGACAATCGGGTGATCAAGGTCTGATCTCCAAGATACACATAACCTTTCTTACGATTGGGGATAAATTTTGCTTACGAATGCCAAATGTCGTAAAAAGCTGATAAATGTGTCTGTCTGTTTTCTGCTTACTTCGCCAACATATTTCAATCAATATATTTTACAGTGTAACAACGAATTAACGTACTTATAAAGTGATTATTTTATTACTGATATACAAACGTACTGTTAGACAGTGTACGTCCATGAATTATTTTTGACGTGGTATATCCATATTCCGTGTAAGTACGTAATTGTATACTAACAAAAGAAAAGAAAACAATTAAATATGCATGAGATGAGTCGTATACAAACTATTGATGATAGCCAAGAAGCAAAGAAAAGTTTATTTCTCTTGATTTAGGACCTCTTAACAAAATTTATTGATAAGTACACAAGAAATTGAACAAAATGTCATCAAATACGTAAGTAAGCGAACACATAAAAACCATAATTTCGTCAATACAAAGGATTGAATTATCTGGCTACCTATCAAAATTGAATTGTTGTTTATGAAATGTAGTTTAGTTGTGGACATGGTCCTTCTGTGTTGTTTGCCTAGACGAAGAACGAGTTGACAGATGATGTCAAATAGATTTTAAACTTTTGCTGAAATTATGAGAAATACTACCCATACACAAATTTTTGATATGGACTGTGCTCACGCAGAAACATCAATACTGAATATCACCTCAAGTTTGAAAATTTAACATAACAAGGCCAGAAATTCAAGAACGACTTCTTGTTACAGGGAACATTATTTGATTAGTTGTCCACGAGCTCAGATATTATTACACTTGTTTATAGACGGGACATGCCAAAGTCTTGATACACACAGGAGTTTCCTTTGCGAAATAACAGTCAATTAAACTGCAACCATAATTCATAATAAAGTTAAACGACTTTACTTGTGATGTTAGGAATTATATTTAGTAAGCTATTTGCTGGACGTTGACTGCTTTTCTTTATATTTGCAGCAATACGGAGAGATAGACCTATATAGCTGATGGGAATAGGCGCTTGTAATATTTTAATCTCCAATACTTTTGGGTTTCGTAATGCAAGTGTATAATGCAATCCTTTTGCAGTCAACCGTATGTGTAAGGGGCTCTTCTTTGGGATCAAATCTCTCGCGTATCAAATTCCCTTACATGACAAGTTTCCACCTCTTCCACGGCTTCTCCATCAAGTATGATTTCGTTGGTGCTCGCTGTGTTGTATTTCGGGGTCTCGCATGTTCCCTTGCGTATGTTGAGGCCTGCTGATGCAGAGGCTTCTGCTACACTGGTTGTCTTGACCTGCATTTATTCGCGTGAATGGGATAGAAAAGCCAGGTCATTTGCAAAGTCGAGATTGCCTAGTTGCATCCAAGCTATTTATTGTATTCCCTGCCTTCCCTCAGATGCCGGGGTCTTCATAATCCAGTCGACCACCAGAAGAAAGAGGGAGAGTAAGCAGCCTTGTCTGACTGCAGTCCTCACTTGGAATGCGTTTGTCAGCTGTCTTCCATGCACGACTTTGCCGTGAGGTCTGTCGTATGAATTTCGGATGATGTTGACTATCTTCTCAGGTACACCATAGTCTCGAACAAGTTTATATAAGGTTCTCCTATCCACACTGTTAAACGCCTTCTCATAGTCCATGAAGTTGATGTATAGTGACGAGTTCCACTGAATTGATTGTTCAACGATGATCCTTAGTGTCGCGATTTGGTCTATGCACGACCAGCCCTTACGGAATCCAACCTGTGGATCTCGAAGTTGGGTGTCTACTGAATCGTTCATCCAGTTCAGTAGCACTCTGTCGAAAACGTTTCCTGGTACCGACAGTAGTGTGATGCATCTGTAGTTTCCATATTTGTTCACAGATCTCCTTTTTTCTTCCTTGATGAGATATTCTTCTTTCCAGTCTATCATCACTTGTTCCTCCCCCCAAGTCTTCCTGAATAGATTGTGGAGCATCTTTACAGTTGCTTCTGTCTGAATTCAGTGCTTCAGCTGATATGTTGTCAGGTTCTGCTGCTTTCCCACTCTCGATTTGTATGATGGTCATCCTGATTCTTTCGATCGTTGGTGGAGTGACATTGATAGGAATGTCTGTAGGTGCTGCTTTGATGTCCGGTAAATCCAATGGAACTAACCTATTCAAGAGTTCCTCAGTGTTCTACCCATCTGTTTCTGTGTTCTTGAATCTCACTGATTGTCTTGATTTCTTCCTCTTTGATTGGTCTCTATGGTTTACTATATTTCCGTGCCAGTTTCTTCGTTATATCATATGGCTGTCTGATATTTCCATCTCTTGCGGCTTTTTTTCGTTGTCCTTGCCAGGTTTTCCACGTATTTCTGCTTGTCAGCTCGAATTTACTTCTTCACTTGCTTGTTTGCTTCTGCGTGGGCCTTGAATTTCTCTGCTCGCGATCGACTACTGTTAGTTGCTGCCTTCTTGAATCTTATCCAAGGTTTCCATAGAGATCTATTCCTTATCAAAATAGTTTTTGCGACCCAGAACCTTCTGACATGTTGAAGTTAGTCCTACGATTTTCTATATTATTTTTTCTATATATGACCGTAAATGGTTGAAGCGAAGACGAAAGGTATATTTCAAGTTATCAAAATACTTCTTGCGACCCAGAATCTCCTGACTTGTTAAAGTTATTGCTCCTTTGATACCTTCTCAATTGTCCTTTATTGTAGTTTCTTCTTCCTTCAGTAGATCCTGTTGTTGAGGACTAACCTGAATTCGATGAGTTTGTCAGTATCTCGTAGGAAGGTTGTGTTGAAATTTTCTACTGCTGTTCCTTCAGTTGATAGTTCTTCTTTAGTTCCAGTTCCATCTTGGCAACCAACAGGTGGTGATCTGAAGCTATGTCGGTTCCTCTCCTGGTCATCAAGTCTTCCATAAATACAAATGTGATCGATCTGATTCTCTGTGGTGTGATCCGGTAAGACCGATGTAGCTTTATGAAGGAATATTGTGCCACCTACAACCAATTTATTGAATGCACATAGGTTTGGAAATCTCCCACCATTCTCGCTTCGCTCTCCTAGTCTATGTCATCCCGTGGTATCTTCGTATCCCATGTTTTCTATTCCGAATTCGGCGTTCAGGTCTCCATTCAGGATGGTCAGATCTTTTGCTGGGCATTTCGCTATGATCGATTGCAGCCTCTCATAGAACTGTCCTTTATCGTCGTCGTTGTTATCATTGGTTGATGCATAACATTGGATAACATTCCTTGTGATTCCTTTCTTCTTTGTTTTGAATGATGTTTTGATTATCCTGGATCCGTGAAATATCCATCCTATAAGTGCTTTACGTGCCTCTTTGGACAGCATCAGAGCAACTGCCTTAGTGTGTAGAGGACTTTTTTCTTCGTGATCGGAGTACATTAGCCTCTCTCCCGTATCTATCTTTCGCTGTCCAGCTTGGTTCCGATAGTTTTCAATGATTACGAGAAACCCCAAGTTGCATCTCCTCATATCTATTGCTGTTTGACTGATCCTCCCGGTCTTCCACATTGTCGGAACATTCCGTGTACATATATTAATTGTTTCTCTGGTTGTCAGAGGGGTGATCGGCCTCGTGACTTCCGAAGAATATCGGCTTTCATCATGAGGGTTCATAATTCTTCTGAATGAAGATCCTTCAACTTCCACGGCATAGTTTAAATTGTTTATTTTGGTTGGTGTTTGTTTAGCAAGGTTGTTTACTACGAGATGGGGTTGCTGACCCTATTCCCAACCCTCTTCATTTACCTGGGTTTGTGATCGGCAGTAACCCTAGAAGAGCTACGGGCGGAGTTATTAGTTAAGAAGTTGGAGTTTCATTATGGTTAACCCCAATAATTAATAAGAGATGTCTTTTCGGTAAATTCATTTTCAAAGCTGTACAATCAAAAAAATATATACTTATTTTTCAGGATAACAATAATTACTGTGATAATGACAATAAAGTTATGTTAGAAATGTTACCAGTGAGGTAGAAAAAAAGATATTAAAAAAACTTTTCAATCATTCTTCAGTATCCTTAACAAATGTACAATTAGAAGAATTATCTTTGGAGATGAAATTCTGTAACATAAATGAAAACAAAACTATTAAAATTCACAGACATTTTCAATTTGAAAATTTAATAAAATAAACAAATGGTGTTAGTCCAGTCTGTGACCGAGAATTCCAACGTTTCAAATCTACTCTTCTCGATAGCTGCAACTAGTAAATTAACCCGAAAGCAACAGGTAAGTCTTCTAATAAAAGAACAACTAAAACTATTTAGAAACAATAAAAACTTGATTATAACACTTCCAGATGAAGGTGCAGGTTTATTGCAATTAGACCACAAGATTTATTTCGACAAAATGACAAAGTTATTATCAGATGATACCAAATAACCCAAATCAATTAATGAAAAGAACAAGACTGAAATAATAGAAAGGAAACTGATCGAAGTTCTTAGGAGAATGAAAAATGATCAGTCAGTCAACGAACATATATTCGAGTGCATACAATCAGCAGAATCAATAATACCACGACTATATGGTTCGCCTAAAATATTAACCTCTCCGACCAATTCTTGTTATGTCTGGATCCTTTTACCACTCTATAGCAAAGTGGCTGGCAGATCTCCTAGAAGCTGCAAGAAAACGCATTTGTAGACACTCCATACATGATACTTTTTAATTAATTGAACACACAAAAGAAGTGAATGTAAATGACAAAATAATGCTATGTCTGGATGTCGAATCACTTTTTACAAATATTCCACTCACATAGACCATCAATTTTATCTGCAGTTACATAAATAATGAGATTAATATCGGAATACAGGAAGTTTATTTGAGGAACTACTACTACGTTACATTTGCAATGCACAAGTTACAGTCAACAAGGTAATTCATAGACAAATGGATGATATAGCAATAGGATCTCCTCTTGGTCCATTACTAGCAGATGGCTTCATAGGCAGTCTAGAAAACAACCAACATAAAACGACCATTAAAAACTTACACTTATGTAAAGGGTACGTAAATGCTATTTTTACCATTTGTGACAACAAACATGATTTGGGTCATCTTCTTAAGACATTTCATAACTGTCTTCCAGCGATTAATTTCACACTTGAAGTCGAAAACAAACCAAATATTCACTTTCTTGATACAGAAATGACAAGAAAACAAGACGAAATTCTAAAAAGATCAATCTACAGGAAACCCATGTGAAATGGTCATGTTTCCACATCTGGGTCCCCATTAATCGAAAACG